CTTTTATTAGAGAATCATTTTAGGCATGAGAATGAAAAAATAAATTATTTTGACTTATTTAGGGTGCAAGATGAGAGTTGTTGTTGTTTTTTAATCATATATATTCTAATGTTGTTTATAACAACCTTAATTTATTTTCTTTTATTGACGTAGACATATAATCAAATTTTTACTTGATGCATTTGTTATTTTTTCAATCTTAAATACCTATGTATGCATCGGAGGTATTATTCTCCTACCATATATATTTTAGCACCCTTCATAATATTCTGACTCTTAAAGTCTGTTTAGTATATCATTTAAAAATTATTTTTTGTAATGATGAATAAATTAAAATACTTTTAATTAAATATATCTCAATAATATTTAACAATTTAAAATTATTTTTATTTAATTTTAAAATAAATATGCTTTAAATTAATCTGTGTGTAGAAGAAATCACATACAGGACCAAGACTTAAAACTTTTATTGAGGTATATTTTTTAATGTGTTTATATATAAAAAAAAATCATAAAAATAAAATATAATATTATATATGGTATAGTTTTTTTTATATATTTTCAAATATTGTAACTGTAAAAGTAGGAGCATCATTTAAGTCTTGCAAAGGAACATCAAGATGTTAAAACTTGTTTGTTATATATTTAGTGAATCAATTTTTATATTTTAAATGTGAAATATATATTTTAATAAAAAATATATAATTAATATGTGTATTGAAAATATTTAATAATTTAAAATTATTAAATTAATTATATTCAACTTAAAACTAAACAAACCCTTAAAATGCCTTACATGTGGCTTATGATATATATTGAAATGTTCAAGCTTGAAACTTGGACTAAGCATGTGAATTTCAAAAGCTTCGTTATCAAATTAAAGAAATCAGACCTGTGCATATAATGAGAGGCAGAGTAATTTTTATTATTTTTATATTTTGTGATGATGCGTTTTCTGTTCGTGACATCTGTTAAGCAGTAAAACTCATTTTATATACATTAAAATTACATTATATATATATATATATATATATATATATATATATATAATTACTTTCAAAGCTAGTACTATTTTTGTAGCTATAGGGAATTCAAAATTTCTATTATCTGTGATTAATCAATATATGTTTATAATAAAATTATGTTATGTATAGAGAGAAGAAAAAAAGGTGATTGATTAAATACTTATATTTTTTAAAATAATTTTTATAATGATACAATAGGTTTAATTATTAAATTATCTTATACTATTTTTTATAACTATGTTATATCAAGTTTTATATAAATAAAACATTTATTTATATTTTAAAATATAATATCAATTAAAATAAAGTATCGTAATAAAATATTTAATTATTAAATTTTTTTTATAAAGTTTTATAAAATTGATGTAGTTGATAAGAAACTTTAAATCAACTATTAAATTGATCAATTTTACATATTATAAAATGTTATTAGGTGATATAGATGTTTAAATTTAAAATTTTATATCAATAGATCTAGACTTATACGTGCTTAGAAATAAAATAAAAATTATAAAATAGATTTTGGAATAGAAAGAATATTGTTTGAATAAGTAATTTAATATTTAGATGATATCAACATTCTATTATTACTTTATATTCTGTTATTAATTTGTATTCAACATTTTGTTATTTTTCTTGTTTTATAAATGAGCTTTTCGTAATAATAACAATCAATAATATATTTATTTTTTTAGTTCAATATTTCAAGTTTTTCTCTCTTCTATCTCCAATTAGTAATATACTTCAATTCTTTGCGAGCAAGTTTATCACAGGGTTATTGAGTTACTTAGCTCAATACATCAAAAAAGGTAATATACACACAGATATGTCCTTATACAAGGAATAAATTATATATATAACAGAAAAAATGGGTCCATCAGTTTTTTTATATAGAAAAATGATGCTAAGCATTAAGTAACGATGCAAGATTTAAGTTGGCCTTGCATATTATGTTTTCATTATTTAGCACTCATAATAACCTCCAAGTTTTATGATTATTTACTGATAAAATTGGCTAAATATTCTTCATAAAATTATATATATATATTCATATATTCCTTCATTTGTGAGTAGTTGGCAGTGAGAATTAATGAGTAGACTTCCGTGCTGCAATGCACGATAATAAAGTTGACATATGTTGGAGTTGCAGAACCTACCATTATCAAGAACCTCGTGACTGAGAAAATAAATAGAAAAGATTTCCTTTCCCATGCCTTTGTTGATCTGAGTCATGCAATATCCATGCATGCAAAGATGCCCACACGTTTACGCACGAGTGAGGAATGGAAAAGGTTCCTTTAGTTTCCAACTAAAATGCATTCCCTCTTTGAACCAAAGAGGAATGGGAAAATGGTATATTGCCGCAGAGAGAGGGGAAGAAATTATGGGGAGTATTCATGGGGGCAGAGAACAAGTACACATATATGAAGCTTATATACATGTTTTTTCTTATAATTATCAACATTTTTTCATTCACAACCTTACTAAACAAAAATATAAAGATAAACGCCACCTGCACATCATGTTGAGATGAATAATTTAAAAACATTGATCTTATAGACTTTAAAAATAAAGCTTAATTTTAATTCATTGTTAGCATATATTTTTTCTGACAATTAAAATTATTTTAAGTATAACTTTTAAAATAAGTATTACAAAAGTTAATAATTTTTAATTATCTGAAAATATAAATTCTAATTAAATTCTTAAAAATTAAATAAAAAAGAAGTCGGGTATATTGTAAACATGTTGAAGCTGAATTTGAGATTGATTTCCAACATTTACATGTATATAAAATCCGACAATGGATCAATTATTTTATGCCAAATAATGAACAATGGTATCTCTGCGTCTCCTTCCATTGAAAAATCAAAACAAAACAAAACTGAAACAATATGAAAAACGAAATTAAAATATCGAAAGAAAACAGAGCTTAGTAAATAATGCGTAAGAGTTGCAAGCCCCGTGATTCTCGACGAGAGAGCATATATTTCATATTATCTTTTTGAGAGGTTTGGGTCTGCATCAGAGCCAGCACAGCATCACATTTCAGTCTCACACACATCCTTCCATGAAATATTGAAAACCCACCTTTTGTTTCTCACTACTGTCAATTCACAAATTTCTTACTGTCATTCATATATAGCTTGTAATTGATATTTACAATAATATTGTGTGGTGCCCACTTCAATATTTGTATCATTCTATATTCTCATGAACCTATGTCAAGAGAATTTAAGGGAAAATAATAATGATTCGTTGTTAATTATATATAGTCCTTGTAATAAATTTAAGTGAAATAGGAATCATGAGATTGAGTCATTATTAAGCAATACAAAAAATGTCCAATACGGTACACGAGTATAAGTATAACGTGATTTATTATCTAATGTATAATTTGTATTTTGTTTTCGTAGACATGTAAGCAGGTGTTTGACGTATGCAGTAAATTTTTATAAATTATGAATTGATTAGAATATAATAAAATGATAATCAATTTATTTTTGGAGAGAGGTATACGTGAAATACATAAAAATAAGATAAAACAATCATTTTGAATGAGCAAAAATAAATAATTCATCCTCTTCGTAAATTTTATTTTCATTCTCATGGAGTCTGGGCCTAAAATAATCATATCAAACTGAAAACTCTTTAATTTTTGCAAATATAAAGGAGAATGGCATACTAACAAGTCGACACAATTAATAAAATAATTAAGTTTTCTGAATATAATAGACATGATGTAATCATTACTCATATGTATAAAAAAATATTTTATTGAAAGAATATATTTAGTTACAATGATTTTTCTGCTTCAAAAGAATTTAGTATTTAACTATTAATTAAGATATTTTTAGTGGGACATGATAAAAAAAATTGAAGAATGACAGCACTTTCCCTACCATTTTATATAAGTCAACTTTATTTAGAAGTTATACATGTATATGCATATTTCATTATTTTTCATAGCCTGTTTCTCGAGTTTAACTCACCTCAATCATTATAGTCATGCTGGTATATGCTATACGTTCTTACTGTCTCGTCCTACTATGATATTATTGAAATGCAATTAAGACATCCATTCTTTATATTTTGAAGAAGCCATTTCTTTTTTCACATCACAGTATTTTAAGTTTTTTAGTGAATATATATTGTAAAGCATAAGCGGACATTAATAAGAATTTTTACAAACAATTGAATATATATTCATTATTAATTTTATTTTATATATGTTCGATTGAAAACTCTGAATTCTTCATTTAGTAACAATTTCAATTTGATATTTTAAATTTCCTCTAATCTGAAATTTAGCAACTAAAAAGATATGTGAATTTACAAAATGAAATGTCCATAAATGGAGGACCACTAAATGGATATGGAGAAGACCGTGGTTTAACATCATATGTAGTAGCCTCGGATGTTTGGGAGTGAGACCAACTTTTTATTGTTGTTGTTTATTTATATTTGAAATCGCTATAATTATATAAAGTATGCTTATCATGAGAAGAATCAAACTCATGCTTCGAATTTATCGGAAAACAATTATTTTATTTTATTTTTTGTCTATTGTTTATTTTTTGATATGTACGGCTCTACTAACGTAATACTAAACAATTAAAAAAATATATTGTTTGTACCATAAAAGAGTTGTTTTTATGAGTCTTTTTTTTTTCGTAATGTGTTCTTTTAGAATGTATATATAAAAATTATTAATACTTTTTATATATACATTTTATATTATATCATGTATAATAAATTTTAATATTTCAAATGAACAACCTCAAACAATTATTATGGATCACTGACTATAATTTATTCATGTGAACTATAAAATTGGACTCACGTGAAATAGTCAAGTATATTCTTTCCATTTCTTGATGTCCATGCATATAAAAAAAATATATACACACCAACATGCTTACGATATGAAAACCAAATTATTCGTTTACTCATCTCTAAGAGGCACATTGAAAAGGGGGTAGAGAGAGAGAGAGAGAGAGAGACAGAGAGAGAGATGCTGTTCTAAATCCTGTTCTACGGTTTTGACTATTTCACTTTCTGGGTATCATATAGGTGTGTGTATATGGGTTGTCATCGATTTATGTAGCAATATATAGCTACGTTGGTGTTGCTAAGATCGAGGATTTTCATTTTCAATGTCCAAGCATAGAGGAGGATGAACAATAGGAGTTGCCAAAAAGTATAGTATTCAACTCCAAACTATTCCATTTCATGAATTAGTGGTTTAATTCAACCAATAATTAACATATAGCGACATACAAGCAACTGTTTCTTTTGTCTTGCTTCAAATTGTGATCTTAAAATCCAATTTCCAAGGCAAGTGTAGGAAGCTCTCGAAGTTGAAGAAAACTTATTAGATGAATATGATGATGGAAGAAGAAAGAAATGACTCGGAATGTTCCAAGACAAGCCCTTCTAACGAAGAAGGTTGTGAAAATGAGGGCAATGAAGATGAGAATAAGCAAAACAACAATGGAGGAAGCTCAAGCAATAGCACTGTGGAAGAGAACGAGAAGAAGACAACTGTGAGGCCTTATGTTAGATCCAAGTTGCCAAGGCTACGTTGGACTCCTGATCTTCATCTTCGCTTTGTTCATGCTGTTCAAAGACTTGGTGGACAAGAGAGTGAGTTCAACACATATAGCTTAATTGTTTGCGTTGTACCTTTTTAATATTTCAATATTCTTAAGTGATATTGATTATCACTAATCCTTCCTAGTTAATTAATTCAAATAACTTGAGTTTTCTTATATTTATAAATTTTCTTAACATATATTGTTTCTTGGGTCTAGGAGCAACCCCAAAGTTAGTTCTTCAGTTGATGAATATCAAAGGTTTAAGTATTGCTCATGTCAAGAGTCATTTACAGGTAAATCATAGATCATTGCAACCTAGAGCTTTTTCTATTTGCATATAACCCTTTTTTTTTTTAATTTGTTTACCAATTTGTTTATGTCCTTTTTGACCATATGTCTCTCCTTTGCCCAGATGTACAGGAGCAAGAAAGTAGTTGACCCAAATCAAGGTACAATAAGCTTATCTTTCTTTTATATATTGCTAAGAAGTTATTAGGGTTTGTGCTTACAAGTCCCTAATGAATGTTTTTAATTATATATATGACAGTATTGGCTGATCAAAGGGTTCTTGTAGACAATGGAGACAGAAATGTTTATAATCTAAGCCAAATTCCCATGCTTCAAGGCTATAATCCAACCCAAAGTTCAGCATACAGGCACAAATACCACTACCAACTTCACTTCAAATTCTCTCAAACATATAGAATTCCACATCTGAATAAGGGTTTGCTTCTTTTCACAGATATGGATATGGAGATGCATCTCTTGCTATCTATGAAAATATGATGATGCATGGGCCATTCATGGGTGGGAGTTCAGTAGATGAATTTGGTGGTAGCAGAATAACTGAGAGAATCCATGGGACCAATAGTAACATCAATTGGACTCATATGTTCCAAGTTGATTCTTCCAATTTTGGTGAACTATCAACAAGTAAAGTCCATGAACCAAAAGATAAATTCCTCTCAATTGGTGGCCATGAATCAATATGCACACAAATCAAAATGAGCCAAGTTGATCTTCATCCATCAACCAAAGTGCATCCAAGTGCACAAGAGCTCATGCCATATAACAAATTTGCCACAAACCCAGTGGAACATAAGTCCTTGAAAAGGAAGTCTTCAGATATTAATCTTGATTTGGATCTGTCACTTAAATTAAATTCAAGGAATATCAGTGCTGAGAACCAATTAGAAAGCATGGAGGACCATGAAGTTGACAGCAATCTATCACTCTCTCTGTGTTTTCAATCCTCTTCCTCTAACCTTAGCAACAGGTTGAAAGTAGCCCAATATTGTTCCAAGAGGCAAGGGGAAAAAGCAAGTGCTTTGGATCTGACTATATGAATGAGACAAATTTTAAGTGAGATCTTGAGGTGCCTGTCAGATATTATGCATATTGTAACCAAATTATTACATTTATCTGACACAAATATATTTTCTTCTTGTCTCTTTCTACATATGGGACAGTGAATAACAACGCTAACTTGTCTTTTCAAATACTGGAAGCTAGGTGCTAAGAATCGTGATCTCAATATCTGTTAGTTCTACTCTTCTCATGTCGAAAAAATGCTAAAAGAGAAAGTCAAATGATCAGAGAGTTATCTGGGAAATGAGGTTTTAGAAGAGAAGAGAGGAAAGGTATTTTTTTTTAATTTAATTTAATATTTTTAGAATAAAAGATATAATATATTAATAATTTAATTATCATTATAAATAATATATAATTCTCTTAATTTAAAAATTAAAAATATTAAAAAAAAAAAACTATGTCCTAAACGATCCTTAAAGCCATAATTGGAAACATGTTGCAACCTTCGTCAATGGAAGCGATTTTCATTTTAATGGAACTGAATTCTGGGTGTATGCCTAGTGAAATGTAAAACATGGCAATAAAAGACTCTATTGGGGGAGCGGATTTGATTTTATTCTTTTATTTTTATTTTTTTAAAAAAGCGGTTGTAAATTTGGAAATATAACTATCTGTTTCTAAACTTAAATCCATTTTGTAATAAAAATTACACACTCTTATTTTTTATATTTATTAAAAATATAGATGAATTAACACAATAACTTTATATTTTAAATTATAATAATATTTAAAACAATATATTTTACTTAAATACAATTTAAGTTTTAAGTTTTTGTTCTTAATATTTTTAAAATATAGTTGATATATAATTTGTTTGAAATATATAAGTAAATCTAACTTTTAAAAGAAGTGAGTATTTTTTTTTTTATGTTTTTCTAATTTTGATGGGGGATAAAAAGTTATAAAGTATGTTTGTTTTCAATTTGCATTATATTTTATTTTTAAAAAAATTTATTTTTAAAAAGGAAAATAAACATGCTTAATTTTTTATCTCCACTTTTCTTAAATTCAAATTCATGCCCAAATGTTGTCGTAATAATAATAATAATAATAATAATAATAGTAATAATAATAATAAATTTAAAAGGTTCATAATAATAATATTAAGAAAAAGATTTGTCCTTATTATAATTGCAATATTCTAAATCATCACACTTGATGGAATATTAAATAAATAATTGTTTAAAATTTGACAGATGTTGATAACTATTTTAAGAATGTTGGTTAAAAAGTTAAAAATATTTTTTATTTAAAAAATGTTAATAATATATTGTGAATGTAGTTTTAATAAATTCCAAGGAAACTTACACTAAATGTAACTAAAAACTTAAAGAATTAGGTATATGAATCTTTATCATATGCTCAATTTATTCGTTTTTATTTAATTAATGTAAGAAGACTTTTAATATAACGATTCTCACACGAATCCATATTTTATACTTCAATACTTATTTTAACAGGTAACCTGATCACATAATCAGCTGAGATCCCACTTTGTTAAGAAAATATGAGGGAGTTAAACAACTAGGGACTTCTCCATCAATAAGCAACGTGTGAAATAAATAAATAATTTGACATCACATATAACCTAAAATCATCATATTATATATATATATATATATATATATATATATATATATATATATATATATTATCCAATATAAAAATAATGTACTCATATTTACTATTCTAATAAATTATACTTTTAAGACACATCTAATTAGTAACACTTTAAAATTTAAAATTAAAGAATAATGGTATAAATCCAAGTGTATCAAAGGGGTTGATGAACTTAAAAGTTAACTTAAATTTTAAGGATTATGAAAAAAAATCTAAAATAATTAAAAATCTATCTTTTTAGTCTAAAATACTATAAACATATTAATTTAATTCTTGAAATTATAAAAAGATATTTTAAATTTAAAAAAAATGTTAAACATTAGTCATCTTAATATCTTTTTCATTAATCATTATCAAATTTAGCTAACAACTCGTTATATGTGATAAGTTTGGTGTCAATGTAGTGTCTGCATAATAATATTTATTTTGTTAAATAACGTAGTCTAATTTTATGAAGAAAAAAAGAAAACAAAATAACCATAGAGAAAGATTATGACCCTTTCACTTCAATTTCATTTCAAAATTCATTTGCATGCAAGATTGATGTTCTCTTGTTATTCATTATTTTAATATATATGACATGCAAGGTAATTTTATAATTTATTTTAAGAATATTTTTCCAAATTATAGGATTACAACTGTTGAGTTTATATGTATATTTCTTCTTTTTGAATTGTATTCTTTTCATTTTCTCCTCTAAAACTAAAGTAGTGTCGTTTAATAAAATGGATAGTTAAGTATGTACAGCGTTAGTGTTTAACTTTTCACACTAAAAATGTCATTAAATAAATTTGATGAAATTAATAAAAAAATAAAATAAAATAATATATCACTCACTATATATTTGCTAATTGACTGTATCAAGTACCGTTTGTTTTTTGTCAAGACTTTAAGAGGTATGGGTCATATATGGGCCGTATCACGCGTCATGCAAAATGCAAGGCCCATATTAATATTTGGGTCATAACTTTTACAACGTAGGCCTTAAATAGAAAGACATCTCCCATATTGTTTTTTTAAGGTGATTATTTTGTAATTCTTATTCATTTAACAAGATACTAATATAATCAAGAAAATTAAGATGTACGACAAAGTAAAACAAAATAAAAATACCTTTTAGTTTATTGAAAAAGAACCCTTTAAGCAGATTTTTTTTTATACATTGACAAGTTGACAAAAGTTGATTTACTCATTTGAAAAGTGAACCTTTGTTTCAAAATTTCATGATATAAAATCTATCAGTAAATGAAAAATCAATAAAACAAAGGCTCGGTTTCGGTTAGTTTCTTACTCATGGGAGTTTTTCCAATCGTAACACATAGTACTAAGACTTTTTATAAATTAAGGAGCTTTTAAGAAAATTAAAGTATATCAAATTGATTTTAAAATATGTGAAAATTTTGATTTAATTTACTTTCTTCATTTACTTTATTTATTCTCTATAATTTAATGAAGGTAAAATATTAAACAGCTTTATTTCTTTTCTGAGGAGAGGACCTACTTTTGTTTGTTTTGTTTTTCTTGCACTGTTTATCATAAAACAATAATGCTTAAAAAAAGATTTTGAATGGAAAAACATGTTCAATTCCATTTTTATAATTTTTATTATTTGGAGAAATTAGAATTAAAATGCTATCGTCACTCTAATTTGATGCTTTGACTAGTTGGGAAGATTCCGTACCAAGTTGATAAGCTCTTAACTGCATTTATGGGACCTAACTATGACGCATTTGGCCCCCTCTCCTCCAGGCTGTTACACTTCCAATTTTATCCTCACCGACCAATAAATGCTCATAACACATCATCACATTATTTGTATCAAAATAAAAAAAATAAAATAAATATTATAAATTTAAATTGTATTATAAAAACACAATATTAAATAGTTATTGTGTTTATATGAATAACCTGTGAGTGCACTGTTATAATAGATTTTACTATTAATAAAAGTATAAAAATTAATAATTTATTTATTTAAAGATATATATTTATTCTTTATAATTAAAATAAAAAAATATTAATATTTTTTAATAAGAAGAATCAAGATGTAAGCAATAATTTTATTTATCTTTAAATGATTAAAAATGTGTAATATTGCATTCAGTAATAAGAAATTATTTTCTTATAATTAGTTTCAATTTCCAAATTTTTGGTCCTTTGGTTAAGATTATTATTATTTTCATGGGATAACATTCTCCAGTCCTCTTGTTTTCTAAAGCGTACCCATCATTTTCAACTAAAAGTCAAAGTTTCCAACAGAAACTTGCCTTTAACTTCAGTAAAAAGGTGCCACTTGTGAAAAACACAACGACAATTCACACGAAGCTTCCAAATCCGAAGATTCAAACCCAGTATCCCACGTTTGAAATCCCCGTGAATCCATCCTTATATGCATACCATCCTGCAAAAGCACAAACTAATCATGAACAAAGTAACAAACCATTCATATGTATCCCTAATTGATTTCATACATATATGAGAAAGAGAGAAAAGAGATTATAATTGTGAAGGGTCAAAAACTTGATCAAGAATTGAAGCAAAAGCATGGCCACTCCAACAGCATACCAAGAGCACCTTCCAGCATCACCCTATTGGCTGAACAAAGGGGACAACGCATGGCAAATGACAGCAGCTACACTTGTTGGTCTTCAAAGCATGCCAGGTCTTGTGATCCTTTATGCCAGCATAGTGAAGAAAAAATGGGCAGTGAATTCAGCTTTCATGGCTCTCTATGCCTTTGCAGCTGTTCTCATTTGTTGGGTTCTTGTGGGTTACCGCATGGCCTTTGGAGAGAAACTTTTACCCTTTTGGGGTAAGGGTGCACCAGCTTTAGGCCAAAAGTTTCTCATAAGACAAGCTAGAGTTCCTGAAAGTACTCACTATTACAACAACGGTACTGTTGAAACCCATGCTGAAACACCCTTTTATCCCATGGCTTCACTTGTCTATTTCCAATTCACTTTTGCTGCTATTACACTTATTTTGCTGGCTGGTTCTGTCCTTGGCCGAATGAACATCAGGGCTTGGATGGCTTTTGTGCCTCTTTGGCTCATCTTTTCTTACACTGTTGGTGCCTTCAGCCTCTGGGGTGGTGGCTTTCTCCACCAATGGGGTGTCATCGATTACTCTGGTGGCTATGTCATCCACCTTTCCTCTGGAATTGCTGGGTTAACTGCTGCTTACTGGGTACTTATGCTTTCATTTTTCTTTACAACCCTTTATCATATTTTGCTTCAAATTAAAGTCTAAAAATTAAGGTACCCTCCCTTTTGGTTGCCATGGCATCTATAAAAAATATTTCTAAATATTATCATGTATATAATTATCTTTATCTATCTTAAAAATATACTAAAAGTTATAAAGGAAACAAAGGTTGTACTGAAGATATTTCTGCATATAAATTGTCATTATTATATTGTACTTAAATTTAATTGTTGTGAGTTTGATTTAATTTAATTAAAATAAAGATTTTTTTTAATGAGAAATTTCTTTTTAGGTAATTATTATATTAAAAGAACTTATTTACATGTTAGTCTAACCATAAAACAATTAATGCTTTTGGATGATTGATCTTGGATACCAATATTGTAATTCCCATGCTCATTCACTCATGGTTGGTTTTTGATTGTAAATGCAATAAATATGAACGTGCAGGTTGGACCAAGGCTGAAGAGTGATAGGGAGAGGTTTCCACCAAACAATGTGCTGCTTATGCTTGCAGGTGCTGGGTTGTTGTGGATGGGTTGGTCAGGTTTCAATGGTGGAGCACCATATGCAGCTAACCTTGCATCTTCAATTGCTGTGTTGAACACAAACGTTTGTGCAGCCACCAGTCTCCTAGTGTGGACGACTCTTGATGTCATCTTCTTTGGAAAACCATCGGTTATTGGAGCTGTACAAGGCATGATGACTGGACTTGTATGCATCACCCCAGGAGCAGGTATATATAATTGTGAAAAAAAAATATTCAATAAAAGATTATTGTTTTTAGTTCATAATCACATTTTATAGAGTCTTATAGCTAGATACATATTTCAAAATCAAAAGAATCAACTTTTTGTTATTCCACTGTAATTTTCAAAAAGCATTTTCCCAACTCTTTAACTTATGTATTATAAATAAATTTTACTGAAAAGAAAACGTATGCATTAACTCCAATGTAGTATATTATAATTTTAATTGTTTTTTTTAAAATCGATCTTCACAAGTATTCACGCAAATTAATTAGAGGAATTTTCTGGTTTGTGAATTTGTGTTCTGTAATAAGCTGATATATATGTTAAGCATGATATTGTCAAATTTAAACTTTTATTCGAAACTCACCAATTAACTTTAATTTTATTCAAAAAGTATAAAAAAACAATGTTTGATACTATCAACATAAAAAATTCATTACTAATATTTAAAAGAAGCATAAAGATACAATAACACAGCCCAGAAAAGAAAAATGACCATAGAATAGATGCAGTTTTTGTTGACTATTAATTAAAATGAGGGGTGTGGCTACAACTTGCAGGGCTTGTGCAATCGTGGGCGGCTATAGTGATGGGAATACTATCTGGGAGCTTTCCATGGGTCACTATGATGATTCTGCATAAAAAGTCAAGCTTGCTGCAAAAGGTCAGGGTTTCTTTTCTTTCTACATAGGAATTTTTCCACTGTTCCTTACGCATAAAGTTTATATATTTCTTTTTCTTTTTTGGAAAACAATGTTTAGGGTTAACTTAATTTTCCATGTGCACGTGTTTTTAAATTCTTATTTAATATTGGAGAAAAAAAAACCTGATCAAAAGCCCAAGTCAACCAACTACTTTTGTTTCTTTTGGCCACTTATGTGTTCTTCAATTTTTATATTAAAATAGATAGCTATGATACCAAAGATGAAGTCATCCTCAGTTTTTTTGGGGAGAAGAGTGCCCAATGTCATCTCATGTCGTTTTTATATAATTAATTTTTATTAAAAATCTAATTTTCCAATTAAATTATACATATTTAATTTCCCTTTCTTGGATATTTCTGTTTGAAAAGTAGACTTGGATTGTGGTTGTGTTTGTTAAAAGAATGGTTAATTATATCATTTATGTGTGTCTAGACATAAGGTCCTTCATAAAGATGATTATTTCAATTTCATCTAGGCAAGATATCTAGGTTTGCCTAATTAGTGCTCTAAGGTCACAATCATCCCAACTAATTTTCAACTGCACATTGATAATATTGTGGAATCTCATATATATTTTGCTCCAAGAAAAGCATTCAATCAATATCGTGCTAGTTTAGGTCACCTTCCATTTGTCTATTTAATCTAATTTTGATTATATAAACTCCATTCTATTTTATTACAGGATTTGACTTTCTCATATTAAGTATCTCCTTCATATCAATATATAACTTAGGTATAATAAGAAGTCAAACAAAATAAGCATATTGAATTGTTCATTAAGTGTAATTTTTAAGCAATTTCTTTTATGTTTTAAATCATAATTAGTATTTAATTTTTGACACATAATTCCCATCATATAAAATCAACATTTAATATTAATAATGTATTGAGATAAAATTATAGTTTTAATTAGAAATTTAAAAATATATTTACTTTCTGTTTTGTACATAATAAATTTAGAAGCTTAAAAATACATTCTTTTAGTAGAGTTTTTTTTTAATTCACTGAGTTATTAAACCGTAAAATAAAAGTAAGACTCATTAAATTAAAAATAAGATTTACATAATTTGTTATTTTTAATAAATTTGAACCAATAATTAAAAACATATTTGCTTAAAATGTGATTTTGTTCAGGTAGATGACACCCTTGGTGTATTTCACACACATGCTGTGGCTGGGCTTTTGGGTGGCCTCCTCACAGGTCTCTTAGCAGAACCAGCCCTTTGTAGATTAGTATTGCCAGTGACCAATTCAAGGGGTGCATTCTATGGAGGAGGTGGTGGTGTTCAATTCCTCAAGCAGTTAGTGGCAGCCACATTTGTAATTGGATGGAACTTGGTGTCCACAACCATCATTCTCCTTCTCATACGACTTTTCATACCCTTGAGGATGCCGGAAGAGCAGCTAGAGATCGGCGATGACGCCGTCCACGGCGAGGAAGCTTATGCCCTTTGGGGCGATGGAGAAAGATTTGACCCAACTAGGCATGGTTCCTTACACACTGGCCACTCTGCCGTATCACCTTATGTTAATGGTGCAAGAGGTGTGACTATAAACTTATGAGTCAACAAGTATTAAGCCCTTGTTTTGCTCCCCATTATGTATAAATTTAATATATGTATGTTATGATTAGCAATTGTGAACAATCCGGATTCATGAGTGGTGTAAGTAGAATTTTGATTTTCATGAAAGAAAATTTCAAGTAATGCTTTTTGTTCCTCTAGTACTCCATTAATTGTATAGTTCTTTTCAAACACATTTATTTTTTATTCACCTCAAATGAAAAAGAATATTCAAAAAGAAAATCTAGAAATTATTCCACGGCAAATGAAAAACTTTCTCATAAACTGAGCACAAAAGTTCCAACGTCAGAGTACTAGAAATGTACTTCTGTCCAAGGCCATTGACTCTAAAATGGAGACACTTCAATGATATTTTTGTGGTTTTAGAATGAGATAAAGATTTTATTTTTGACATAAAAAATAGTGTTGTACAAAAATTAGTACTTGTAGTGAACCTTTTAATGTAAATTTGAATTAATGTGGAAAAGTGATATTTTTGTGGGTCAGAAAAATCAGAAGATAACAATAACAACATCATTACGTGAATCACACACGTCCTTAACCCAGTTAAAAATTAACTCTTACTAAAAAAAATCATAAGATAGGGTTTACTGTAAACACACGTTAAGTGGTTTGTTTTATATGGAAATTGAATGAGAATACAATATCAGTTGTGGGGCAACACTTGTCCACACCTATCGAACGACAAATTAACATATTCATCTGTCTATCACTTATTAATAATTACTTTTTTTTTCTTTTACAATAATAGTCTTCTAGTTTGCCCTTTTCTCTCTTTTGAAAAGTCATTAGCCATGGCAGTCTCTTTGGACCTGAAGGTTACAGGTCTATTTATTTATATATCAATTAGATTTAAATATATTTAAAATCTAAAAATATATATTAGAATTTTTTTATTTTAATCCCTATATTTAATCAAAGTTCGTATAATTTTAATTTCTCATCAAAGACTAAAAACATATTTTATATATATATATATATATATATATATATATATTATTTTATTTTTCTGTCACAAATATCTTTCATTGAGGATAATGACTTAAAACTAAAAAATTTTAAAGTTAAGATGAAACAATTTGATCTATGTATTTGGTAATTTTTATTTGTAATTAAATATTTTAAAATAAATGTATTTTTAATTCTCATAAATATATTTATTTATTTATTTTAATGCTTCAATGTTTTATTAATTTTGATCATAAAAATTTTTATAATTTTTTTAAAAAATCCCTATTCACCACTTACTAACAGCATGCTTGAATTTAGACATCATGTTACAAATCACTTCAAAATAATTACTAAAATAATGTTATTAGATACATTTTTTGTTACTGTTAAGTGATCACAATTTTTTTTAATTTATCAATATAACATTATATCTAAAATACTTGTCATGACATGCATTTAAAATTTATAAAAATGAAAGTCAACAAAATATCTTTTAAAAGATTAAAACCAAGTTTATTTATATTTATTGAATCTAAAAACATATTTAAGCCGGTATTTAATATCTTACATGCTATTTGATGTCTCTTATATCAAACATAAAAGTTTATAATTATGGTATTCTCACTTCTATATTTTTTTATTCAAACCATTTTTAAATGTCGCTCCGATTTATTAAAGAAATTATCTGGAATGAGTAACACCACTCGATTCAATTTGTTATAGGATTTGGTTTCCTCTCTCTTGGTTTTAATTGGAAGTTGAAAATTCTTGACCAACCTTATCATTCTACATTCTCCCAAGACAAAGTTTCGCATTTCTAAGTTCGAATGAGACAAAGTTTGTCAAACAGTGGAAGCACTTTCAAATAATTTCATGGATAAATTTATGAGCTGTAGACAGATTATGCTCATTTTCTTGTTTGGCCTTAACTCTAACTTCAAAGGATGCCCATTCAAATAGTTTACAGATATTTTGTCTTAAGCAAACTATAAAAAATACAATCTTAAGACTCAAGTTCCAAAATGACGTTGTACATGCATAAAAATTTAATGTTACATTGCAATTTCTGAGCTAATCAAATTGCTCCCAATGTTGAGTTACATTTGTTGAAGAAGAAGTTTTGGTTGGGGCATTCAAGCTTCCCATTCCAGAGTGAAAGGTCTCCCATTGAGTTGTTACAGAGACAGCTTTACCAATGTTGCTAAAAGGGTTGGAGTTTCTTGCCTTTAGAGAATCTAACGTATCTACAAAGTTCTGCACACGACGCACCTGTTGATGGGTGCAAGAGCTGATTTTCAGTCCTTCAAAGATAATGCAATTATGAATGATTATCAAAATCGAAGTCCGCCACCTCACCACCAAGCACAAGAATACAATCTTTCACTCAATCATAAGGAGGGGGGCGGGGGTGGTGTTTAGATAGTATTTGATTGAGATACTGACAGTGACAAAAAATGCATTTCTAGTTTCAACTACAAACACACATCAAAACAGCTAACTAGACATAAGTTATGGTGATACTGATGATGTAGTAGAGTTTACAGAAAAACAATGGTGGGAAATGTAAAGACTAAAACATGGTTAGGTGATTTAAACACTTGAACATGGATAAAAATCAGTAAATTATAAAGATATGGTAAGAATTCACAAATGGATACTCAAATATTTCTCATGCAATAGAAAATCACAGAACCCTTGAGAGAAGCTGAAGGGAAAAGTAGAGAAAGTTGAACCAAGCAACTCTGTTTCTACCAACATCAAAATTTGGGTTATAAAACTTAACCTAAAAGGTTGAAAGCAGGAAGGCACCAGAACGTACACTATTTCCTAAAACAATCCCTTTTTTTTTTTGGGTAAGCAAAGTAATGAAATTAAATAAGACAAGGGGTACTCCAACCCAGCCAAACAAAGTACAATATCCAGAACCAAAAAAAGTGTGATAAAAAAAGAAAGATAAAAAAGAAAACCAGCAGAACAAAGCAAAGACAAGCAAAAAGTCATGTTATATACGCACAGTTTCCTGATTCCTTTTGCCAAGGCCATGTCTTCCAAGACAATTGTCACCACATGGTACAAAGAATATCATGACAACAACATGCCACTCCAACACCGTTTGCCTTAACTTTGGCAATGTATATCAATTTATTATTGAAACCAAACAAGAAAAATGAAATTCTGAATCCTCCAAAAAACCAGAATATTACCATTCTCTGCATTAATGATCCACTTTTGATTGAGGCACTGCATTAGATTCTGGATCCAACATGATAAAGGTATAGAAAATTTGATAAAGACAACAATCAAAAGAAATGAAGAGAGTATCAATTATACTGAAGAAAAGAAAATAGAACTGAAGGAACCACAGTTTCCTTGCCCAGCCCAAGGCCAAATTACTCACGAGCTTTTCTCCCTCCCAAACTTCTCTCTCTCCTAATAACTAAACTCCCCTTTTCCAAACCCTATCATGGGCCTCCGGCACCCTGCCCATTCAATATAACTTTCCTCCATATCCTTGGCCACGTATCCCCCTTGTTTCTATCTTAGAATATACTTTTAACTCCTTTCCCATGTAACACTTCTTCATTCTTTGAAATTTTAGGCCTAAGAGTCTCATCAAAATTGTTGGCATTTTCAAATGCTTTTGTCATAAGTCTCCTTACATGAATAGCAACAACCATTAGCATTTTCATGATAAATTTCGCATGACACCAAAAGGAACTAAGACTATCAAACCAACAAGTTTTCTATGGAAGTTCTGATTTTAAAAACCTCGCTAAGAAATTTTAATCACAAAGGTTAGAAAGATACGCTTTCTGAAAGAAAAAAAAAATTAGCAACTATTTATCAAAAGTGTAGAAAAATAATAATTTGCATGTCTGGGATGATTTTGGATTTTCTTTAGATGAAAAAATAGACAAGTTGACATGGACAAAACATTAAAACAGTATAAAAAAGTTTCACATTTGTGATGGACAAAAGTCTCACATACAGACATGTGGCACACATGTAGAGTTTTGCCAAAGGGATGAAATGTGATTTTCCAAAACGAAAGGGAAAAAATATTATTCCCAACCACGCTATGTGAAATGCATAACAGAATTCCATCTTACCAGTTGACGAAATTAGCCAAAAAAACACCAAAATTAATAAAAGGCTTGTGTCACAAGTAAAAGAGTTTCACCCCTGCAATGAGCAAAGCAAGTTTCATTCATTGCAAGGACAAAATTTTCTCTGCATAAGACACATGGCAAACAGAGGTTTCCAGACAACTGCATTCCCCACTCCCCCCACCCCTCTTTTAACACACTCTTCCCCCTATGTATACCCTCAACTCCCCCCAACTCACAAGTACCCTCTCTTACACCTCTTTTCAATTTTTTCTTTCACTATTTCTCTTTCAGTTTAAGTCGTCATTTCTCTCCCAAAACCATCTTTCTTTTAGTAATATAATTAAATCGGAAGAGAAATAGTGAAAAAAAAAAATTTTGAAAGGAAAAGTAATAAAGTAAGAGTAAGAAAGTGTAGGTGAGTTTAAAAGGAGTGTAAGGTGAAAATAGAGAGAAGGGGGATAAAAGAGAGGGGAGGGAATAAGGCTGTTGGGTAAACCCCTGTTTTGCCATGTGTCACATGCAAAAGAAGTTTCGCCTATACAATGAACGAAACTTCTTTTGCTCATCCATTAAGTTTCACTAACTCTTGGGACAAAACCCCACCCTGAATTCCGAGTGGCTTGGAATATATATTTTTTTCAATAATCATGTTTCACCCCTTGCTTAGTTGAAACTCTTTGCATACACATCACGTGTCCGCATAAGAGAATTTAATATACAAACTTTTTCTTAATAGAGTCTTAATGTTTCACCCTTGCCATTGTGAAACTTGCCTATTTTTTATTTTAAAAATATTCAAACAGCAAAAACTCTTTGCTTAAGTGAAACTCTCTACATGCGCACTGCATGTCAACAAGAGAAAGTTTCATCCGTTACAAATACAAAATTCATTTATTTTTTAATTTTTTTTATGTTTCTTCCCTGACATTGCAAAATTTTCTTAGTTTTTTATTTTAAAAAAAAATATATGACAAAAACCACTCTAAACAGGTAAAATTTTTTTTTTAAATAAAGACCAAAGAGACCAATATCAAGATAGTGAATTAAAACCATTTCACTGTTTAAAATAAAAGTAAAGATTAAGGGAAGTCAATATCCTAATCCTCTTATCCATTTTTACATCCTTAAAATGTTGGTGGTCGATTACTTGTTTCCCATCTTCTAGATTACTCATTTTCTTTCAATTTTAATAGACTTCCTTTAATATTATTTGTGACCTGAGAATCAAATTACTATAATAAAATTAATACTTGGTTTTGTCAATTCTTGTGAAATGATATTTCTATTATCTTTTATTACTTGTGCGATCCAATATACAAGCCATTAATAGACCAACACTCACCAATACAAGGGATTTTGTTAATAGGGAAAACAAGCACAATAATTACTGCACAAATAATTAAATTTCAAGTTAGCAATTCTAAAATCATGAATACTACCTCGTGTTTTCTCTGCAGCTTTGCTTCACCTTCAGCCTCAATACCATCCAGTTTCAACAATTGCCTCATAAGCAACTCCGTCGACATCACAAACTCTTTGTCAGAAACCCTGGTCCCTCCATCCACAGCCACTTCCAAGGCAGACACCTACAAAATTTAAATCAGTCACATCTTCAACGTTTCTATAACAAACAATAAAATGGGAAACACAAGCTCACCCTCTCAGAGAGCTTGTCCACCTCTGCTCTGACTCCAGCAACAGCTTCAGAAGCTTTTAACATTTCATCATGCTTTCTAATTTCCTCAAGTTTCCTCTCTTTGCTAGCAGCATCCTCCAAAAGCAAAAGCTTTGATTTGTCCTTCACACCTTCCACGTGCAAATGCTCTTCATTCTCCTTTTCTTTTCCTTCAAAGAAGAGTCGCTGCTCTTCAGGCTTTAAACCAGTTTTATGTGCAAGCAGTTTCTTAACATCCCCTGTCATTATAAAGACTAAGAGTGTGTTTGGAAATCCTTGATAATCAAATTTTAATATGAAAGTTATAACTTGCAGCATTAGAATGGATCCACGTTTGAATGAATTCAATATCAATCCAAACATGCCATAAGTTAAGACAAAGATGCATAGAAATGACAACAGAATATCCCGGGGCATTTGAAAATTCTCACACGGAACTTACTTGGGTTTATCAAAACCATTTTATAAAATACACATTACTTCTACCTTCTTTCAATAACCTTCACAATTTAATAAATGATATAAGTCATAAACTAATCAAATAAAAATTTAATTAAGTCGTTTATCCAAACACATCTTTTAAAATATATGCTACTTGTACATTGTAACTTCTAAGACAAGCACTATTTCCCTCAAACAAAATCCAGACAAAGGAACAATCAACGCCACGATGCAGGACAGAACTTTAACATGTTAGGAGCATTATATGAAAAGAAACCATAGAATTTGCTTCACACGCGAGAGCTTTCAAGTTTATTAACATATTCCTCTTATTTGCTCTCAAACAATAACCAAAAACACAGACAATAAACAGAAGCAAATTCTATCGGTGTATCTATATTCTCAGAATTTATAATGCTCGAATCTCAAGATTGTGCTTTCTTCCATACTTCTAACAGCAAATTTAGATGTAAGGTGCAATTGAATAAACAGTTTAATCCAGCAATTATTCAATAAATTCTTTTAAAACGATAAATTATTCATAAATATAGCTATATTAAAAACAACTTTCGATAAATTATATTAAAAACAAATAAATTGAAATGAGGTAAACAAAAGTTATAATAAGAATCGTAAACTATTTCTGTAAGTTATCGACCATAAGCTTTTCCAAACGATTCTCAAAATTAACTAGTCCAAAATAAGGATGGTAGAAATGACAGCTTAATCTTCATTCCTAATATACATAGAAATAGTGAATGACAATGGAAATGTTGATCCATGGAGAAAAAGGAATGAATATGATTGAGGAAACAAAAAATGCATAGAGAAAGATAGAAATGGGAAGAGAGGAAACTGACAGAAGGTGGAGTGAGAAGGGAGGTAGAGAGGGAGAGGGTGTTGGGAAGAAGAGTGAGATACAGTGATGTTGATGATGGGCCCCTCATCAAGGCCCACTTGGCGTCTCTGCACGAACATGCCGCCGGGCCTCATCTCCCACTCCACCTTCTCCATCGCCCAATCAATAATGGAAGCAACTCACTGACACTGTTTCTAGTTTTCCAAATCTCTGCTTCTCATTCACAACTGTCATCCACTTTCTCTTACCTTTCTCTTCTCTCTCTTTTCAACTTTCATCGCTTCAACCCACCGTTGAATCTAAAAAGGATTCAACTATTTATTAAAATAAATGTTAATCACTCCTCTATGTAAATTGATTAACTAACTAAAAATAGAATTTCTTTTAGATAATATAATAGTTTTTTCTGAAAATTTCTATACAGTCTAACGTAATTTCTAATAATAGCTTTTCACTTTTAATTTTTTAATTAACATTCTAAAAATACTGATTAACAAGACGCTTATTAACAACATATATCATATAAAATTTATTAGAACAGACGCCTTTTTTTTTTCGTTAGTTTAATCTTAAATTTTATTAAAATATTTTTTATTTTTTTTAACATGTAGTTCAGAGTTAAAAAAGTTAATAAATAAAAAATTATCGAAAACTATAATATTTAATATTATCAACATATTACATTCTATATTATTTTATAATTTTTATAAAAAATTGTTATCCATAACTTTTTATTACATGTAATTTGCCATATACAGTAGAAAAACAGATTAAAACTAATATAAATGCTATCAATTACTTCACGCAGAAACGCAAGTGCATCAAAAGCTTTTGAACTTTTGTGAAAATACCTTTCTTTTAATTTACATAAACTCGTGAGATTAACTTTTCAATTAAAAGCAATAAATAAATATGCAAAATTCTTTCCGAAGTTACAAAGTCGATTTTTTTAACAGGAGTGCATTCATAATTTTTTTTTTGTTTTTATCTTTAAACGATAAAAATTGCATCATAATAACTTTTAATTTCATTACACTTTTAATTCATATATTTTCCTATTGTGTGCAATTTTGCTTCTTGTAGTTCTTGTAAAGCAAATTTAATTTCCAGAATTTTTCAATGGATAAAATTAACTCCCTGGCCATACATCCCATTCAATTATTAACGAAAGTGAAATAAAAACAAAAGTTATAACGTGACATTAGCTAATTTCACTTGGATCGCATTTATTCTAATTACTCATATTCAATCTATAATTTTCAATCGATAAGATTGGGTTTCTGACCTTAGATTTTTCACTTCACGCAAAAAATAAAAACTAAATTAGGTGAATGAGTCTTTGATGTACATGTAAGGTTAATGAATATTTTCAGAGTTAAGATCCAAAAATAGGATGTTGTACATGCTTTTGTAATTTACTGTAATACATAAGCAAACTGCTCCCAATCTTGAGTTACATTTGTAGAAGATGAAGTTTTGGTTGATTCCAAAGGTCTCCCATTAAGTTGTTACAGAGAAAGTTTTAGCAATGTTGCTATAATGGTTGGCGTTTCTTGCCTTCAGAGAATCTACAAATTTCTGGAGTTTATTGCCTTTAGAGAATCTAACTTATCCACAAAGTTCTGCACACGACGCACCTGTTGAGGGTACAAGAAGCTCAAGTTCAGGCCTTCAAAGATAAAGCAAGTCTTTACAAATGCACAGTATTTAATTAGAACAAAAACACATCCATTTTCTCTATGTTAAATAAAAAGGGAAAATTTTTAAAAAATTGATGAGAAAGTATACGATAAAGAAACTATACTGACCAGAACTTGAAAGAACCGCAAAAACAACCCGCGAAAATCACTAATATTATGTTCTTCCCTAAGCCACTTCAAATGCATTTATACTTGACAACTAAAGTCTCACTACTTGACCAGCGACAACCATTGGTGTTTTCAAACAACAAGAACAAAACCATATCAAACTAACAGTTTTCTACTGAGTTTTTTATTTAAACGAGACTCAATTGCACCTTCAGCCTGTCTACTATAACAATGCACAATTCTGATCCCTGAATAATTTTAATTCAAATTTAATCCCAAAATTGTTTTACTGGTTACAATCAAGTCTTTCCATTAGTTTAAGTCCTCATTTTCTACTTAAAATCTCCGCAAAAGGCATATTGATAAAACCATTAAAAGTTTATTTGGAAGAGCTTGTGAACAGCTTATAGAAAATAACTTATGACTCTCATAAATTGTTTTATGACTCTTATAAATTGTTCTCAACTTATTTCAGAAACCTACTTGGTGTAGTTTATTAAAATAAGTTGTTTTAGCTTATCTCAATAAGTTTTATCGCTAAATTTATGGCATATTTTATCGCTAGAAAAAGCTTATTAAATAAGCACTTAATTTAGTACTATTCTTGAACACATCCTTACCCGTCAATCAAAATACAATAATTCGCCTGAGATAAAAAAAAATCCCAAATTATCTCCCTTCAAAACCCTAATGTCACTTCCTCAAAAATGTTCAAATTTCATCAACTTTTCACAAAAGTATCAAATTCTGAACCTTTTAAATCATTTCCTAGCCCAAATCTGTCTTAAATCCCCAATTATTTGAATAGAAAATGAGAATGTTGGAGTAACCTTTGACTTTTGTCAAGGAAAGATGAAAGGTATAACAAAGGAGAGACAAGATTGTGGGACATTAGTGGAGATGTACATGACCCACTTGATGATGATGCTGGACTTCTTGAATTGACAGTTTTGTCTCTTGATGAACTAGACTTAGAAGTTATATTTTTCTTGGATGATGGTAATGGAGGAGAAGAGAATGAAAGAGTTAGCATTAGAAAGTAATTAGTAGTGATGATGCTTTTGAACATTTGGCTTTTTTATAGAGTCATTACACGTTTTGTTGTTGTGATCACTTAATATCATTTTTGTAAATTGTGATCATAGTTATGAATTAATGAGAAATGATCAATGGGTCTTTCATTAATTAATATTTTGAATATATATATATATATATATAATTTTTTATTAAAATATCCAAAACGTATTGTATCCTTAATTTCAAAAAATTGCCATATCTGCATATCCGTATTGTATGAGTGTCATACTAAGTATCCCGAAATCATAAAGAGTAAAACTGATGAAAAGACTTGATTGTAGATATTAAAAGAACCGGGGAATTAAGTTTGAGTAAAAACTTATTGGAGGACTAAAATCACTCGTTAGCCACCAAAAGTGCAGCAAAGCCTTAAGAAAAGCTAGCTAAGAAATTTTGCTCACAAGGAAAGGGGTAAATGTTCTCAAAGCGGTCCCATGGTCATATGGCGTGGCAGATTTTTTGACAAAACAACATCTGATGGTGGTTAAAGAAAACGATCAATGACCAGTCTTAAACCCTGACGACCCATCAAGCCCATAATTATCCAGAAAAGTCATAATGCACTAATGACTCATCAAACCCTAGCATAGATCCGCCCATCTCTCACCTGCTCAGCAGCTTCAACATCTCTAGTGATCAACCCATTCTCTTCCTCCTTTCCTTTCCAGCATTTTCCTAAATTTTAAAGCCACAATCCTTGCTTTTTAAATCCTGTTCTGTTTACTACTACTCTAGCTATCTATTTTCCTTCTCTGTTTGTTTAATAAAAACATTTTAAGACATAATCTCTAGTCTCTTGTTCTTTTTTCTGTTCTAATCATACTCTTTTGCACTATTTTATTTTCATAAATTCTACTTTTTTTATTTACCAATAAATTTTGGGACAAATAAATTGTTTTTCATAAATTTTGATCTTTCTATGAACTTATGCTGTGAGACTTGTGATACTATCCAACAAATTAGGGAATTGGGATACTTTTGATGAATTTTAAGGTTTCCAGTTTATTGTTTCTTCATATATGTTTTTTTTTATATATTATATTTTGGCAGTTTTTACCATACTTTTTTAATATTAATTATTTTTTTATAGTCACCATAATTTGCAATGCCATTCGCCCTATTTTTATGACAAAGTTTTAGCTTTCAACCATTAATAATACAGCAATGGATAGAAAAAGTGTCAAGTTTAGAACACGTCATCTTATAAAAAAAAACAAACAACAAGACAACACTTTTGAAAGAAATACATGCAATAGGAGTTCTTGAAGATGAACCTTTGTCTGACATCTAAGCTGTAAATAATTCTAGATATAGTCTCATTCACATCCAACATAACAATAGCCAGTAAACAAAATCACAAATGCATACATACTATTAGGTTAAAAATCAGAAAACAAAATCTCAAATACATAGATACTATTAGGTTAAAAAACAAAACTTTAATCCACATGCTAGCACAAGTGCACAACAATATTGAGCCATATTACATTGATGAGAAGTTATCTATTGAAAAACATTGAGGAACAAAGCATCACAATGCAAACGACTACACAAATATCATAGCATGTAATCCTAAGTGATGCTTTGTAATTTATACAATAGAATGTGAGAAGTCATTATCCATAATTTACCAGCAGAAGGGATATTAAGAATACGATAACACAACAATTAATAGACAAACAGTTAAAATTTCAAGTAAGCAACTATAACACCATATACATTACCTCGGCTTTTCTCTGCAACTTTGTTTCACCTTCAGCTACAATACCATCCAGTTTCAACAAGTTCCTCATAAGCAACTCTGTGGACACAACAAACTCTTTGTCTGAAACCTTGGTCCCTCCATCAACAGCTACCTCCAAGGCAGACACCTGCAAAATTAAAATCAGCTATATCTTCACCCTCAGGTAGCAGTTATTATGTTTCTATAACAAACAATAACAATGGGACACACTGGCTCACCATCTCACAGAGCTCATCCACCTCTGCTCTGACTGCAGCAATAGCTTCAAAAGCTTTTAACATTTCATTGTGTACCCTAATTTTCTCAAGTTTCCTTTCTTTGCTAGCAGCATCTTCCAAAAGCAACAGCTTTGACTTGTCCTTCACACCTTCCATATTCAAATGCTCTTCATTGTACTTCTCTTTCCCTCTGAAGAAGAGTCGTTGCTCTTCAGGCAGTAAACCAATTTTGGTCGCAAGCAGTTTCTTAACGTCCCCTGTTATTAAAGATAGAGTTAAGAAAAAATCAAATACCATTTATAATGAATGCCATCTAAAGTATATCCCACTTTTACTTCTAAGACAAGCATTAGTTCCTGAAACATATTCCAGATGACATACAATCAATGCCATGATCAATGCCATGATCCAGGACAAAATATCGATCTATTATCAAGCATAGTATGAAAAAAAAATCATGCAATTGACTTCAGATCCCTGAACTTTCAAGTTTATCAACATAATCCTCTTATTTTCTCATATCATACAGTTTACTCACTCTGAATCAACTGTGTATAAGAACCTAAAAAAGTAAACAAAAGTAAATTGTGCTTGTGCATATACATTCTCAAAACTTATAATGCATGAGTCTTATGATTTTGCTTTGATTTCTTCCCTTCTTCTCACAGCAGGTTTGGTTTTCATAAAATCATCTTCTCCAGAATAAGGAACATGTAATCTTGTTAAAATGCTAGTTCATCAAGAAGTGTTTTCATCAATTCAATGTCAAATTTCTACATATCTCTCCAACATCATCTTTCTTTGGTAAGAAAGAAAAACTGATTATAAGCAGTCAATAATTTGTGTTAGCTAACATCAAACTAAACGACTTAGCTCGTTCGGGCAAAAGTTAAAAATTTCAAACACAATTGTCACAATGGAAAGTTCCATTTTCACTTTAGAAAACCAGTTCATACCTAAAAATTACATTATATCTAATATGTCAATGTGCAGCAAAATTCACTATATTCAACAAAATTGAGCAAGGTGGTTAAATGCAAACATACAACCCTTCAAAACCCTAAATCAACAGTAACTCACATAACAACAGCAAGCTAAATTTCAAAACTTTATCAAATTGGGAGAAAATACAGGGAATAAAAAGCAAAACCCATGATTGGAAATGGGAAGAAAGAGTGAGAAATGACTGACAGAAAGTGAAATGAGGAAGGAGATAGAGGTGGTGTTGGGAAGAACCATGGGAGACAGTGATCATGATGATGGGTTCCTCTCCCTCTCCTTCATCCACACCCACTTCGCCTCTCTGCACGAACATGCTCGTCTCGCAGTTCACCTCGTCGCTCGCCGGCGCCGCCGCATTCTCCATTAAAGTTGCTACCAATGCAATAACGTTATGTCTTTGATCAAAGAAAGAGTTGTAACGGATATATAGAATCAGTTACTGTTATGTGTGGCCCTTCTTTTCACCACATCTCTGCTTATACAGAACGCTTGCTCCTCATAAATGATCTCGCTTCTCTTCTAACTTTCCCCTTACTCTCTCTCTTTTAGTTTTTTTTTTATTAATTAAAAAAGTAATTATTTTTTACGATTTTATTTAAATTAAATATGGAATTATTGGCTTGAAGACATTCGTTAGTTAAGTGATAACATATTTTTTTAAAAGAAATTATTAATTAAAAATGTATTTAAATATACACTTTACTTAATAAATTTTTTAAATGATAATTTATGACACAAATTAAATAATGGAATTTATTAAGAGAGACTATAAGGTTATATTAACAAATTGTACTTAAAAAATTAATGAAAAAATAAAAATATTTTATGAGTCATAAACAATATTTTATAAATATTTATAAACTTTTCTAAACAAATTTAAAAATTAAATTTTAAATCATTAGAAAAAAGTATTTAGAATTAAAAGGTTAGTTTAAATTTATAATATTTTTAAAAATAAATTAATTAATAAATCGGTAAAGACACTAATTTACAATTACATTGCATCTATCGTAATTGAATAAGAATTTAACAAGTAAATAAAATGTGTATTTTAATTTTATAAATTATTTGTAAACTCATCTTTTGTGTTGATGACAGAATCATGGAGTATCTTCTCAATCCTCTTCATTGCATGGGACATGGGGGTTACCTCACATTCATGTAGAGATTAACTCACAATTGGCGATTCAAGAAATAAAATACGGAACTCCACCCTCTCATTCTTGTGCTCCAATTCTTCAATCTATCTTTAATTTCAAAATCAAAAGGTGGAAACTAATATTGTCACACTTGCAGAGAGGCTAACATGGTAGCAGATTGGTTGGCCAACATTGAACATAGCCATGGTGTAGGACAAGCATCCTAGACTCTCCCCCACAAGTGTGTTTTCCTCTTCTTAATTTGGTTGGATGCTGTTGGCATTAGTTATTACACTTAGGTGAGAAAATATATATGTAAAAACATGTATACCTTCTTGAACTATGCCAAAAGAATTTATCCCATCTAGTTGAGGAATTCAACTTATTTAGCTAAATGAAATTAGTTATATACAAATGAAATGTTTTTTTTTAAAACAATTGCTTAGTTGTGGGTTTCTAAAGCATATATCAGAAGAAATTATTAGATTTATAATTTCACTTGACTAGCAGATATTTAACTAAAAGCAAACTATAGAAGCATGAATTAGTAACTAAAGTAATGTAAAGCTCTCATGGACACTGTTTGAAGTAAACTGTGCTAGAATACATAATTTGATAAAAAAAACAAAACAAAACAAGGTAGGTTATGTGACATTCCGCATATAATTTGCATGTTATTGTTTAACGAGAAAGAAGGTTCCACGTTATGATGCCCATCCATGTTGACAGAGGTCTGATAACTAAAATACATATACATGACAAATTACTATTGTCCAAATCAATACTTGAAATGATCATGTGATAAGAAGAACAAGATATAAGCTAAACGAATTTTAAATTACTCGAATCCTATTTAAATTGAACCAATTGTTTTTAGATTGGATAACTATCTTACATGCAGATTATGATCTGACTCTCTTGACAAATAGCAATATTTTTAGACGTGTCATGGTTTACTGTGAAACGCAATTCTGCATCTGATAGTTACAAAGTCAGATGCACTAATGGACGAACTTATCAATGTCCATATAAGGGAAGAATTTCATTGACTCAGGTATTTATATTTTTACCATCCTAGACACTTACTTCGATCAAATTTTCACTGAACCATTTTTGAGCTGAGACCTCCATGGACCACTTCATTTATCATCTGGAATCACTATGTGTCGGGGCTCCTACCACCCTTGATACGCATCAGAATTCATAATCAACTCTAACAATTTGTTTTCGTAACCCAGAGAATGTGATGACAACAAGAAGGTTATTTTAATTTAGAATATTCTGCATGTAATTTCCATTTGTTATTGCTTAATGAGAAAGTAGGTTCAACATTATGATGCCCATTTATGTTGTCGAGAGATCTCGTAAATAAAATATACGTGACAAATCACTGTTACCTAAATCAATATTTAATGATGATCGTCCTATATTAGCTGAATTTTAGACACTTCAGGAAAACGAGATAGGATCCAGACTAAAATATTTAAGAAGAAAAGAAATTAAAAAGTTTATACTACCATTTATAGTGAAATAGAGAGTTTATTTATTTGGGTTTACTGCACACCATTCTGAGTGTTAAGTGCGCACAGCGCTTGATAATTAAGTAGAACCCGTGGATTTTGCACGAGAAAGAACAAAAACATTAATTCCATTGAATTAATACACATACTTTTGCATGAAATTACAAAATAATTAATACATGAGTGATAAATAAAGTGGAATTAAATGAAACGTGGCTGAGGTAAGGACAGATTTATTAGATAAAAGTGCTTAAGAGACTCCAAAGTGGGAACAACTAGCATTGTGGAGAAGAAGAGATGACGTAAAACCAAGTCTTGAGGAAACTAGATCAAACTCCAAAAGATTGTCCTCTAATTGATGCCCACCAATCACAATTGATGTTGCTGCCAAGGTAAATCCTGTAGGCTCAAAACCTCCATTCACAAATGCAAGGCATAACACATTTTTAGCAACCTTGACCATTGAATTGGAACCATAGATTCTCCATGTACTCCACCCTTTAGGACCAAATCAATTGTTGGCACATCGGGTCCAGTGGTCTTGCCAATGGTCCTTGAATCAAAGCATGCCCAAATGGTGCCACTGAAGCCACCCTTTTTATTTTTCTAATCAATGCTTTCTTCACAAAATCATTCACAAATGGCTTGTATATTAAAGTGTGTAATTTGGTGTAAGGAATTAAGGTACTAAGTTTGGTAACTCCATCTCCCGCTTTGTTAATAGCCAACATAGAGGTATTAATGTTGGTATTTGTGCCGTCAACCCTTCTTGAATTCACATCAATGAAGTACTCCGAGGAATGATCATTGTCAAAGTCTGGACGTGAGCTTTGGGGGTTTACTATTAGTGGTGTGTAGAAAAGAAACTTGGAAGCATCATGATGAGGCAAATAATAAGGTCCCCCACCTACAAAGAGACTCCCAAAACCTTTCTTTTTGAAGGTAAACAAAGGGCAAACTTATTGTCAACCTTATATTTCATTGCAAGTTGTGTTGGTAATGAAATAGGAGACCTTGCAAGGCCTAGTAACCCTTTCTTACCCTTGGCAATGCCATCAAGATGGTGCTCAACCCCAAATTTAGCTGGGTATACACAAGAAGAAAGAAAATGTGGCACAATTACATTGGAAAGTGCTCTTGCACCATCCGTGGAATACACTGAAAAAATATCCTCACCCAAGTCTCCACTTATGGAGACCCCACCAAAGGGGTTATATGGGTCAACACCACACGTGTTGTTTGTGCATCCTGTTTTGAGAGGGTGACTGGTGCAAGTAATGCATCCTGTGCTTTTGGCTTTTTTGCATGTCCTTGTGCCACAGTGAATAGGTTTGTAGGTTGTGGAATTATATGCCTTGCCACATTCAAACCATAGGAAAGGTCCCCCAATATCAATGGATAATTCTAACATCACCAAAGGGGTTCCCATTTTGATAGTAGTAGAGTGTTGAAGGGTTATTGGGTCTTTCTCTATGAGAAGGACAAATGCATGGGGTTTATGGGGCTTCAATGCCACTAATGAAGAAAAGAGTGAAGAAGCAGCACTGAGAGAAAGAAATAGGAAGATCACATTAGAAGTAGTAGCCATTGCGAAATTTTGTCAATATGATTCTGAATATCGTCAACTTTGGGGGGTCTCTTATAAAGCATGGATGAATCATATTCTGTATACCTCTTAACACACCATGTTCTAGACTTGTTTCCATCTTATATATATATATATATATATATATATATATATATATATATATATATATATATATATATATATATATATATGTAAAAATGATTAAATTGATTTTATTTTATTTTTGTTTTTATTCTTAGTTTCTCACCTTATTATTAAAATTTTTAATACCTATCGTATTAAAACTTCATCGGTCCATCTTGAATGATACGATAGTTGCTTTGTTTTAATACGATACTAAAAAATTTAGAAAGAATATATGATATTATTTTGTTGCAGAAACTTCTTACATCATTTACGATATTGAGTTTTGGGATCAACCTACATTATTACGTCAACTTTAAAATAAATCAAACGTCAACTTAAAAAATTGTGAAGTTAGGTTAAGCCAAGTTTTATATAAGCCAACATTCTTATATGTAAATGTTTAACATATGCGCTTTCAAACTCAAATCTACGTTAATAGTATGATCAATTACATTTTTATACACACCATGTCCTGTACGGATTTGAATGTCTATATATGAAAAAATCTTTAAATTGATTTTGTTATTTTTCATCTTCTATGATCTATCTTAGTTTCTCAGCTTATTATTAAAATATCAATATCTATTATTAAAATTTGTAATACCAATCATATGAAAATTTCATTCGCTCCATAATAAATGAAATGTTTAAAATGATAGGTGTTTATTTTTATAGGATACTAAAAAAATTAGAAATAAAAAATTTAATATTGATAGCTGATATTATTATGTTATAAAAAATCCTTTCATGGTTGACCCATATTCAGTCTCACAGGATCCACCTACATTATTAGGTCAACTTAAAAAATTGGTTAATTTATGCTGAGTCAATTTTTATATAGGCCAACATTTTTTAATTAACTACTTGAATCAATCCAACCAGGATTTCAACAGTTTGTAGATTTTTCATATAGTTTTCAAATTAAAAATTACTAATCATCACTTCAGTTGTTGGGACGAAAATTCGAAACATTCTAATATGAAAATATTTAAAAATGTGCTCTACTTATGCTATCAAACTTAAACCTGCAAATATAATAAAATTAACGACTGATCAATTTTTATTAATCTAATATATTAAATACACTTCATTTTGTTTAATATTTATTTATAAATTATGAAAAATATTGATGAGAAAATATATTAATAAGATATAACATTATTTAATTAGAAACCTTCGAAACCATAATGTAGAGAAACATTGACATATAATTAATCTCTAACTTTCTATTGAGGTAAATCTAAAATTAAAAAATTCATTTCTTAAAGTGAGTGATTATAATTAATATAACCATAATGTAGAGAAAATTTTCAAAACACGCTTTACTCTTCTTCTATTGGTATAAACATACATGTTAACTTATTTCATAATAATAACCATACATGTTACAAACTTCGATTACATGTTTGGTTTCAGTTCATCTAAGCTAATATCTCCTTTAACTTGAATTAATTTCTTATAACTTTCAAACATGAAACCCTTCTACTCTATCAAATATTCTACCATTGAAATAAATGTAAAAATTAATTGCACTTGTTTTTTATAAAAGACCTACAAATATAAGTAAAATGAAAATAAATTTAGTAATATAAAAAATATAAATAAAAAATAAATATAAAACTAAAATATATTTAGTTTTAAAAGTTAAAAATATCCAAAGATACTAAAAGAGAAAAAAAAAATTTATTTCATCAATATACGAAATATATGAACAATAAAATTTAACACAAATCAATAGAAATATTCATGTTTAAATAATTATTTTTCTCCTTGTTTTTTTCACCAAAGCAATGTGAAAAGGGTTAATACCCTTAAGGGAAGTGCGTGTGCCTGTTTTCTCTACAAGACACACATCTTGTCCATTAGGAGTGTAAAACGCTCTAAGGTCCTTTTGGTAACGTTTCTGTTACTCAAAAGACTGTCACAACTACTAAGCAGCTTCTACACTCACCATAAATAGTTGATAACAATCCTTGTCTGTCCCAAAACAGGAACTCTCCCCCCCCCCCCCCCCCCCCCCTCCTCAGAACTAATCAGACCTTGTTAGAGCCATGTTTCACCATTATATAACCAAACACCAACCAAAGTTTTTCACCACCCTTCACATGAGGGGTCTAAATCCAATGACTATTCCAAAGGCTCACCTACTTCGTTTACCCTTTTTCTTATCTGGATTTTTTTTATCAAGTCTAGTCACCAGCTAATCCCAGCTCATAGATTCACATTCATTTGTATCATTTGCATGGGTGGAAAGTGGAAAAAAATAAATCAATGAACAGAACATGAGGGATTATATTATTTTTTGTTTCTAAAAACAAAAATTGTAAGATATTCATCCAACTAATCAATATTAATTGAAAATGTAAAATTTATTTAGTTTAATGATATATTGTATTTACTCTCACTGATTTTGTTATCAAATAAAAGAAATTAATATTTATTTTCTATTATATACAATTTTTCTCTTCATGTTATTTTGTTCTTTCTATTTCCATTAATTTCTCCCACCAAGAGTGCAATCATGCTTTCACATGTTTACACTCTTCCTTTCATATTACAATGCAAGTAATTGAATTTTGAATTTTTAAAAAACTTCATATTATGAATGTATTAACATACCTTGTGCAACTATATATTTTTTCAACAACCAATTCACCCAAATTAGTCCATCTCAATGAGAAATGGTAGGGTAATTGGCCTTTCACTTTATTCCTTTATACAAATCTTTAATAGATATTAAAAAATGATTTTGGTACAGAGATTGATGTGTGTTTGATGAGATGAGCAACAAAGCTGAGTGGACAAGTAAAGCTGGGGATTTTCATATGCACAAGTAAGAATAATTAGGGTTCTACCCACCCACCCTCACATCGCGAAAGCCGGAGCCACATGTGTATGTGCTCTCCCTATGTCTCTTTGTCTCTGACTACAAAAAATTTCTCATTTTTCTGTAAATTACTAGGACTATTTTTCAGCTTTTAACTTGCTTTTTATATTTCGATGATATTTTTATGTCATCAATCATTCTTTTTGAATCAGAAAAAATACTGATCCTGCAGCATTGTAGTGTCACATACCAAGGATGGAACTACTAAACCACTTTACAGTAAGCTACTATACAGATTCTGAGTATGCCCGTGTGACCCAACAGATAGAGGGTTTCAATCAATTTGAAAAAAAGAGCAATTTTAGATGTTGTCACTTTGTCCAAATCCACCACCATGCATGGGGTCCCTTTGAGATTGCAAAAGGGTTTCAAGAAAATTAAACTTGTGGCATAAAAAGCAATGCTTTCTTGATTAAGATAGTAAGATACCCTCAACAAAGACACTGGGCAAGAAAATTTTAAAACTTTGATTTTTGTGTTTTTGTGGGGTTTTTGGATTTTACATGTAAATTTCTGTAAAAATTCAATAGTTAACAAAGCCTTTTAACAGGTAAAGTAATATTTGATTAATATCTTTTCTATGAAAACAAAACTTTAATACAAGCTAGTGCTTCAAGTAATCTTTGGTGTAACATTTTTTCTTGAAAAGAAGAGCTAAATGGTTGATTGAACTTTAAGCTCTTTTCTTTCCTCCTTTGAAAGCAACAACAACCAAGTGAAATGAAAAAAAGTAAAAAATAAAAAAATAAAACCCCACATAATAAAAAAAACATGCATAGTTATTCTCTCTTTCAATAAACAGTGTATAACCTTAGGATGAAAAGCACAAACCGTACATAATAAAGCCAGGCAACTAATGGTCTATTTCGTCCTTGGATTTAGACACCCCCTGCAACTGTAAAACATTTGCTTCGATTTCAGGGGAAGGACCCCCCTACACTTCCTTACTTTCTCTCTCTGATCACTTCTCTGACCATTGTAATCAAAAGACAAATGGAGGGCCTAATCTCTGTCACTTACCAATGGGTGAAGATGCTAGTGTTTTAGCCCTCTTTCTGTGGTGGGTCATAATGTCACAGCAGATTTTATCTGTCCAACTTTTACTTTAATTGAAATTAAGTATGAACTTAGTTGTTGATTTAAGGTTCGAAATTAAGTAGTCAAAGAACCATTAAGTTAAACATTAGTTAGGGTGAAAATGAGAGTGCATATATATCCTCACACAAATGAAGGTGTGTTTAGTACCTAGTTTAAGTACTTGCATTATATTTTCTATCCTATAAAAGAGTACTAAAATAAATTTAAAAAAAATTACCAAAGTTTTAATTTTATAAACTACTTATAAAATTTTCTAAACGACCTCTTATTTATATAAAACGTCTAATAACTTTTATAAGTATGAAGTTTTATTAATTCTATCGTCTGTAATATTATTAAATAATATAAATGCATGTATAGTATAGTTGAAGTTTAAAATTAAAAATCAAAATTCAAAAGTACCCTAATTAAAAAATTTTATAAGTTATTTTCACCACAAAAAAAGTTCCCAAAGTATTATAATATAATTACTTCTTAACTATGTTTATGACATAATTCAATGTTAAGAAATCATAGAAGCCAGTTAGTGAACAGAGCCAACACAATCAAAAGAGCACAAAGAGAAAAGGAAAAGAAAATGAGCTCATGCTGGATCTTAACCCCGGGTCCCTACCTAAAACTGCCGTATCCTGCGCCAAAGATGGCTGATTCACATGACGACACCACTTCTCATCCCTTCATTCAAAATCATTGAACCAATGTCACTCACATATCCTTCATGCTATATAAATGTGTTACAACATAAAAGGAACTACGTCCCCTACTAAATTCAAAGCTAGTGACACCTTTCATTAGCCTCTTTTACAATAGTACTAGTTCAATTTTTTCTAAGTTAGCACATGGAGTGCGTTAACCCTACCCCTTCTGCAGGATCATCTTCAAAGTCCAACAAGAGCAGAGAGAAAAGGACTGTGAAGAAAAGCAAGGGAGTGAAGCTTTCCACTGACCCACAAAGCGTGGCAGCAAGAGAAAGAAGGCACAGAATCAGTGACAGGTTCAAGATCCTTCAGAGCATGGTTCCTGGTGGTAGTAAGATGGACACAGTTTCTATGTTGGAAGAGGCCATTCACTACGTGAAGTTCCTCAAGACCCAGATTTGGCTTCACCAAACCATGATAAACCATGTAGATATTGATGACCCTTCCTTGTTCCTCCCTTCAGTGTATAATTTTTCTGATGAACAATCCATTTCCCTTCAGCAAAACCCATCAGTTTCAGTATATTCTCAGCATAGTTTACCACTGCCACCTCAGTGTTGCTTCCAAGGTGAAGAGTATAACACTTTCGATGCCAATATGACATACTGGCCTGCTTAGTGTCTTGTTAATTTACGTATATGCTTCAGTTCCCTTTGTAGTGATATAATGATAATATATATTAGGCGTGAACTTGTAATGGTTAAACTGCTATATATATTCTTCTCTGAGTCTCAGTGAGTAGTATTTAATGTGTAGATCAATCATGCATGTGATGTACTTGTTGCATACTAATGTCTTTCTTTATCATTACAAGCACCCTTTATTCTTAGTGCCTTTATGCAACGTGGTCTTGGTTATTTGCGTTGTGGGAAGCTTTTGAAAGAGACAAGTTAAATTCTTCTTGTTTTTTGTTCTTGTAGCACATTTGATTAGAGCGTTCGTATAAGGTCAATATTGCGAAAGTAGCAAGCCAGGACCACGTTCTTTATTTGTCTTCTTCATTATTTTTGGACTACTATTATGTCTTACATGTCATATACATATAGTGAATTTAAAAATATGAGAATCTTTGAACCTAGTAAAAGTGGAACTGGTGCTTACGGGAATTCTTAAACTCGTCAAATTCCACCACAATGTTTTACTTATACAGTTGTATTTAAGTTAACGTATGTTTCGTGGTTCAGTTATGGCTGATTTTTCCATCTTTCAAAGTCAATTTGACGTTCGTCAATTCTTAATGCTCCTTTTCAAGACTAATTTCTCAGCAGTAATCTTGTCCAATGATTTCTTTTCTTTAAGAGGTGTTTGTCCTAGTTTTGATTACATAGTCAAACTGAAAAGATGTATATCTGAACTAATATAAAAAAATTAATAATATCGACCTTGATTATATTTTTAGTTTGCCTATGTTTAGGAGAAAAGGCTCACGTAATTTTTTTCTAATATGTTGATCAACCTGTTCAAATACGTGTAAGAGAGGTGCTTGAAGGCCAGCTAACTGAGCTAAGATTGGTTGCAAATTTGAAAATAAGGATTAGGATATGTTGGTTTGTATTAATATTAAATCAATAGGTTTTGATCATATTTTCTTAAGTTGGACCGTGATCAAAATATTATATCAATAAATAAGCCATCCATTGAAGTACTTCATATTTATATGCACCATTCCAAGATTGCAACTTAGTACCTAGTGAATTTGCAACTAGCTATCTCAAGGTAAAAACAAAACGAATATTTAGTACCAGAAGTAAATACATTAAAAAGGAAAGGATGAGCTTTGTTATTTAATAGACCTATGCTACATATTTGCAAAAATGCTTAGTCCAATGCAAGGCACTTTTGGTTATGTAGAAGAAAAAAAAAAATACAAGACACTTTTAACAAGGTCTATTTATATATTTAATATTGCGGGAAAGGGAGGAGGGGATATAATTTTTAGTTTTAAATTAAAAAATCATATTTCATTTATAATGATAATATATAATTAATATATTAAATTTATATAAATATATTAATTTATATATTTTATTATAAAAATTATTAATTTTAAATATATTTATTTAAAATAAAAAATTTGTCTTCTTTATTCTCTTCTAAAATTCTTCTTCCCACACAACTCCTAAAGCATTCAAAAAATAACACATACTTGACCCAAGAAATAATTCGAAAGTCGTGTTAAATTTATTACCTTTGTAAGTATACATTTGAAAGAGTGCACAGAAATAATTCACAATTTTTATAAAAAACTAAATTTTATTTTAATAAATTTTTTATCAAATTTGTGTCACAAATTTTCATTTAATAAAAGTTTATTGAATAGGCATTTAATTAAAGTCTTAATTTAAAAGCACCTAAATATTAAAATTAATAATACATAAGCCACCTTAAATGTGTTGTTTTAATTACATAGATCTTATACCACGATAAGGATTTGGTTTATTAAAAATGATGGGAGATTATGATAATATAATATATTTAATTTTCTATTTTAGTATGTATTAAGTGTAAAATAAATTAAAAGTTATCTTATTCTTTTTCTATCAGATTTTTATCAAACTTTTATATTTTATTCTATGGTAGCATTGTAAGTTTATTTTTCCTAACAGTAAGGTTTTTAATAGTTTTTTCAAATAGTCTATTCATCTCAAATCAAAGATATCAAAATAGTGTAAAATATGAAAATGTAAAACGACTTTCATGGTAAGAGTCAATTATGCAATTATACAATTTTTTTAAACAGTAGAAACAAAGAAGTGCTTGTAATTAAAGAGAAAACTTTGGTCAAGGGTAAATTTATACCCTGAGAAAAGCTTTTTACACCCTGAATCGATTATCAAGCGGTGTGAAATATTTGATATGAATATCTCCAACATATCATGTATTGAAGGGAAGATGGTGAGATTCTGATTTCGTGTTCTAGTTTTAGTTAAATTTTTGGCTTACCACCATCCATATGTTTAACTCGCCTCACCACACACTTGATCCCTCTAAAGCCTCTACAATCTCGAAATGTAACTATGCTTTTGGCTCCAACTATACTTTGATACATGTATTTTTGTGTTCTTCAATTTGATACCTATTTTTTCCCACCAAAGGAAAATGCTGGTACAAGAGCATGCAATTATTGACATGCACATGGAACTCCCACTAATGCGCGGGGAACATTGAATCTCCAATGTTTGATGAAAATCCTGAATGAGAGCATTGGGCATTGGCATTCCATTATTCAACTAGTTTCCTGATAACAGAATACATACAAAACCAACTCAAAAATCAGAGGGACATGATTGCTTTCTCTCATTGTATTTTTCCACCCTTGGGTTGATTTTGTGTGTGTAGGTGCATATAAAAATATACATATATCATATATGTAATATCAACAAAGAATGAAGGGGAAACAAAACAGAAATAGATGAGTATGTTTTCATCCTATATGTGACTGAGAAGAATATGACTCTGGATAAGTTGATGCTGAAATTGTTGGTTTGGTGTAACAGGTACACCTTGGGTCATGAATGGCCTTCTTCTTTCTCATATTAAGCTTGGAACATAAAACACAATACCTCCCTTGAAACCTTTGATAGCCCAAATTGTCTTCTTCATTGTCATAATCACTCTCCTCTTCCATATCTGGGCTGTTTTCTTTAGTATCCTCATCTGCTTCATCATCATCAATGAGTGTATACGACAAACCAACCATTGGAAGAATGACTAGGAGAATTTTATCAATCTTATGGTTGCTCCAATTTTTCGCTCTCTCCCAAAACAATAATGGAGCAACAACAAATCCTGCTCCAACCCCAAAACCCACTCCAATTGATATAAAAGACCAGTCAAATTTAACTCCTAAATCTGTATGTACATCTTTCGAATTGCTCGATTCAGAACACTTTTTAGTCAAAGGAGCTCCACATAATTCTACATTACCAGCAAAGGAAGCTGCTTCAAATGTCTGAAGTTGAGTACCTAAAGGGATTTTTCCCACCAGACGATTAAAGGAAAGGTTCAGGTATGCAAGGAAGCTTAAACTTGCAAGCTGTGTGGGAATTTTTCCATCAAAATGATTGCTTGACAGGTCCAATGACTCAAGCTGCTTTAAATTCCCTATGGATGATGGGATTGGGCCGGTCAAATCATTGTGTGACAAGTTGAGAGCATAAAGTCCTGTAAAATTAAGAAGCTCTTCTGGTATCGGCCCTTCAAAATTGTTGGATGAGAAGTCAACAGATGTGAAGATAATTAGGATTTTAACAAACTCCATCTGAATACCTTTACTGGTAAGTGTCACTGAATCCTGATAATATATGCCTCTGCCAAATTTAAGGACCGGAGATCCAATGCGATTGAAATTTGTTACATCATCACCCTCATGAAGCATCATTGCCTCCCATGTCCTGAAGCATTTTCCTGGAAGTGAACCACTGAAATTGTTCAAAGCCAAATCAACAATTTGAAGCATATGCCAAGTACTATTAGTACGAAGACATCCAATTGTACCGTGAAATTTGTTGCCCCTCAAAACCATGACACGGAATGTGTGTAACTTCTGTAAGAAGCACGGAAATCTGTCATCCACCTGATTGTTTCCAAGATCTAACACTTCTAATAATGTGCAATTTGCAAGAGAGTTGGGAATTGTGCCTCTCAATAGATTACTATTGAGATCCAGAGTCCTTAAACCGCAAGATACAGGAAATGTATCTGGAATGCTGCCACTGAAATTGTTATGTTGTAGATTTAATACCATAAGCGTCTCACTCTGTGTTAAGCACTCTGGAATTTTCCCTTCAAAGTGATTATAGGAAACGTCCAGAACTAGCATATTTGAACGATTGCACAAGGATTTAGGTATACTCCCAGTTAAATAGTTTCTGGAAAGAGACAGGAATATTATGGAAGAGAGATTAGTACCAAAATCTGATGGAATACTGAAGCTGAAGTTATTTCCTGAATAGTCCAAATAAGCGACTTGCCCTGGAAAAACTGGGAGCTTCCCTTGGAGTTGGTTGAAGTGAAGATCAAGCACCTTCAAAGTAGAGCTAGTGTTCTGTACAGATCCATCCAAATAGGTAAGAAAATTTTGAGAGAGATTTAATTGAACAAGAGAGTCAAGTTGCCAAACCCATGTCGGTATAAATCCTGGAATAAGGTTGTTTGAGAGGTCTAAATTGGTTAGCTTCGATTGGTTTTTCAAGAAACCGGGAAATTTTATCAAGTTGCAAGAAGCTAACTTCACAGTGCTCATCGTAGGGAAAGAATATAAATATAGGCTTGCCTCAGTAACTTTTGTATCTATTGACAGGTTATTGTACGAAAGATCTATTGTAGTTAGATTCTCTAGACTCTGAATCTCATCTAGCTTGACAGTGCCATTTAACTTGTTTGAAGACAATTGGAGAACAATAAGCGACCTGAGATGAAAAATAGATTTAGGAATGGTCCCTTCTAAATTGTTGCTGCTTAAATCAAGGATCCCTAACATGGAGGAAGAGATATTTGAATATTCATCCAGATGGCCTCCAAAATTGTTGGTTGAAAGCCGAATACTTCTTAGCAATGGAAGTGTAAAAAGATAGGAAGGAATGCTTCCATTGAGTAAATTGTACTGTAAATCAATTTGGACCAGTTTTCTTAGGCCTTCCAATCCAAGAGATGCAATTGAACCCGTTAAATCATTGTGTGAGAGGGCTAAATGGAAGAGATTCTTGGACATATTCAAGGATGGAATTGGACCAGTGAAGTAGTTAGATGACAAGTCCACATAAGTAAGCTCCGAGAGTCTTGACATTGAACCGGGAAGTGTTCCATTAAACAGGCAATTAGAAAGATCTAAGATGGATAACTGCTTCAGATTACTTATAGAAGCTGGTATTGCTCCTGAGAAATATGTGGATCTTACAACCAATGACCGAAGAGATCCATGCAATGGGAATTTGGGAAAAGAACCATCAAGATCATAATTGAATGATATGTCTATATCAGACAATGTTGCTACCTCAAAGATCTTCTCCGGAAATACTCCAGTCAATCCACAAGAACTAAGATAAAGGGTTGTCAGATTAGGAAATTGAGCAAACGTTTCTGGCACTTGTGATGATAAATTGTTCTGATCAAGACGAATGACTGAAAGATTCTTAAGTGTTATCAAGGAATGATCAAGGGGTCCAGAGAGATTGCAGTTTGACATGCTCAGTTCTTCAAGGCTAAGCAGTGGCAGCAGTGCTTTGCACCATTCCTGTCCCTGAGCTGTTACACTTACACCATCCATATACAGTTTCCTAATCCAGGTGAGGTTTTGGACAAGCTTTCCTAGATCTAGATCCTCAAGTTTCAGTGGTTGCCCATATAAATATGAAAGAGAAGAGATATCAAGAGTAACCAACCTTGTCAAGTGAGAAATCTCAATTGGAATCTGTCCCCTAAAGCCAGCATATGACAAATTCAGATAAGTTAAGTTCTTCAACTTGTTGAGTCCAGATGGAATGACGGAACTGAAGTTATTAGTAGCCAAATTCAAACTCTGAAGATTTTGCAGACTGAAAATACTACTTGAATTGTCAAATCCACCATAGATTGATTCTCCACTCAGGTCAAGGCCAATAACTTGCCCCTCCTTGTTGCACTTCACACCTATCCACTGACTGCAACCAATGCTTAGATTCCAGGATACAAGTTTGCTGGAATTTTCATGCTTGAATTTGAGCTCGCTCTTCAGTTTGAGCAGTGATTGTTGTTGGTCCTCAACTATTTGGGCAGAGACCACAAAGAAGTCAACACTCTGGTATCTCCAAAAGCAGTAGCAGAATATGATGGAAAGCCATTGAACATGTGGAATTCTCATTGGAATCTATTGAGAGAGACACCACCCAAATGAACCAAAACAAAGGCAGAAGTAAACAAACTAATGATGGGTTACAGACCCTTTGTTTTCCAGTGACTATGTTGCCAAAAGTCACATGAATTTGGCTTGGAAATGTTACCAAAAGTGTAGCAAAATATGCTGAGGAAAAGATGAGTGGCATAGAAGTTGGCTTAGCCGCAGAGAGAGTGTAAGATGGTCACAGAGTCAGAGTCAAAGGTGAAGTCAAATTAAACCGTGTCCTAAGGTGCTAGTTTTATTTTGTTTCCTCTTTTTCTTCGTAATTAACCATCCTCGCCAGAAAATAAAGAAAAACAATGTTGTCATTATTGCGTTCATTTTCCATGTCAGTTAATCTCAACGCTTTTTTCGTAGCTTACCTTCTAAAATGTGACTCGCCTATTGGCAATGTTAGATAAATAGGTAACATGAAACAATTTTAGCATTCCATGGTTAAAAAAAATATTTATGATTTTAATAAAATTCCGATGAAATTATTGAAAATTGTTGAATTAGATAAAAAAAATTACAATTGTCATTTTTTTTCCATTCAAAAGTCAATAAATATGTAAAAGTAAAAATTTCTTTTATTAGTTTATTTTTTGTGATAAAATATTTTTAGCTACATATTTCATCCGTTTTATTAATTGGACAATCATCTGAGCCCTCAATCTCTGAATTTGAATCCAAGAGCCATGGATGTGGTTCGAGTTTGTCCTGAAAGTTGAAATCCCTCTCTTGTCCATCAAAATTAGCATTTTAATAAATTTCATTAATTTATGAAAATACTTTTGGATTATATCTAACTTAAATTATATTTTTTCGATTAAAAGTTTCTGTCTCTCTATAATATTATAAAAAGCTTTTAATATTATTCCATTAACAGATTAATGCACAAAAGTATTGTACATTCCCTTCTGTTTTAATGAGTGGATGAAGATTACTTGTGATATGCCTAAAACGATAAATGTTTAATGGAAGAATAAATAAATAAATATCTTATAACAAATGATGTGATAGAAAAATGTAAAATAAATATTAAAAAAATATGAGTATAAAAATTTAGTATCTTTTTAACTGCATATTTTAATAATTGATTGAAATCGTTTATCCCCTCTTGGTGCACTCCAATTAAAGTATATGTTTGGGTTAATTTTTTGTAAAATTGAGTTTAGATAGACTTAGATTTTATAAAAAAATAATTTAGTTTAAAATAATATTTTATATTAAAAATTATTTTTAAAAAAATTAATAAAGTTTTTAATTTAATATAAAATTATAATTCATCACATTAATTTAAACTTAAATTATAAATAAATTTAATTTGATATAAAATTGTCAAAAAATCTTGCTCTAATCCCAAACAACTTTTTACATTTTTCAAAACATTTTATTTTGACGTTTTCAGTTAACCTTCAAACTCGCTGATTTGTCCAAAACAGTTTATGGAGAAAGAAGAAACCTAATCCCAATCGAGTTAGCATTCATCACAAATAGAGTTGGAAAGGAACACGAAGAGAACCTTATGGTGTGTACTATTTTCTGTCGTTGCTTTCATTTGTTATCAATTGAATTTTCCATCTATGCTCTTCACCATAGTTTCGGCTTTGACGTTTACATCTCTTGAAGTTGTGCAGGTTGGACCTACAATTTTAACCAATGTGAATGGATCAGCAATTGCCGTCTTTTCCTGCTATTGATTAATCATGCAATGCTTTGCGTTCCTCTTATGTTGATGGCACTTCATTTTTCACTCTGCTTCTGTTGGTATCTTCATTAATCGTTATTAAACTATTTCACAAACTCTTCCCTACGTCTCTTTAGTTTCATTTTGATTTTGCATAAAATACATAGTAATTGTTTTATCCCAATACAAAAGATCAACAGAAAATGTTTTTCTTTAAGCTAATTAGTTTTATACAAAATCAAGGATTTTAGTTTAACCTTAAAGTGTTAACCAACCGAAACCCTATTTTTTTAGCTAAATTGCTTGTTTAACCTAAATCTTTTTTTTTTCTTTCTACACTGTCTATATTCTTCCAAGAGACAATTATGGGCAATTAGTCCTCTCTTTCTCTTAATAATCTTATTCGATAAAGTAAAATTAGTTGAAATCAATAATAAATATCATATTTAAAACATTTTTCAAGCAGTGTCTCAAATTTTCAGCTCTGAGTTAAATGTACTTTTACTTTTGTACCTGACATTTTTCATAATTCTCCCCCACCTTTTTACTCTAAACCTTTAATATTTTGTCTTTATTTATAACAATTTTAAACTATAAAGAAAAACAGTTAGATTTTTCTCTTAAAATGTTATAAATTTTGTTTATACAAAAATTAAAATAAATATTCTTATTTTTTAAATAAATAACAAATATTTAATTAATTTAAATATATTTTTGTTGAAAAGGAAAGAAACGTGTCACAAATAACAAATAAATTAATGTGGCTATATTCATTGCATTAGGCTCTACACTCCCTAGACGACTATTGCATATCAAATTGCAATAACAATGTTTTTCATATATTTCTTGCTAAAACCAATTGATATACATTTGTTTCCACGGTTTCTTATAATAATTCTTTTAAAAAATAATTTAATAAACATGCAAATGATATATTTTTTTGTTAAACTAATGATTTTGCATGTTGCACGAGTACTAATAAATTAAAATTAAAAATCTAGATATATTATATGACTATTTTAAAATTTTATAAATTTAAGAAAGAATAAATTATGTAATTATTAATAATAAATAATTTATACTATTAATATTTTTAAATTCATCTTAAACATATCTTTAAATTTTACTTTTAAATAAAAATTTTTAATTTTAATTTTATTCTAATTAATTTTTTTTATAATTTTATTCATTATTTCAAAATTAACTCCTAATAAAATATGGTTAAATTAGTAATGAAAAAGAAAAAAAGTTTATTTATTTAAAATATCAGTTATTGACTAATTTTTTTAATTATTAAAATATATATTAAAACTCATAATTAAAAGCAAACATATACTTTTATTATTTTTATTATTTTCTCTTTTCTTTTCTTTTTCTCTTTTAACAACTTTGATTGTAATCTCAAATACAATTTTTATTTTATTTTACACGGGGATATCGATTGCTTAGTGAACAAATCCTTCCTAATGTATGCACACGCATAAAATTACTTAATATACACATTGTCATTATTTAATTCATCACCTTTGTCACAAGTTAATAATAACACTTAACAAAAACTAAAAGAATGAGGCATCGAGAGAAAGGAACAAGATGACCCGCAAATAAAAGAAGCTCAAACCTGACACCTCCACAGTCCATCTCGAGGCCATCACTGTTGTGGAGAAAACAGAAAAGAAGAAGAAAGAAAGAGTAAGCAATCTGAGTTGGAGGGGAGTGGCGCAGCGATGCTTGCTGGGTCTGAATCTGAAGTCTACGCTCTCTTTTCCTTCTCTGCCCAATGCTCTCAACCCTCCCTTACACCGACCATCCTCGCCGATGGCGGTTTCAGCCTCCGACGTGGCGGCGATGTACTCCCTGCTCGCGAATTCAATGAGCGCCGATCACCGCCTACGTGGCCCTGGCGAGGAAGTTTGCATTGTACTTTTTTGTTCTCTTTTCATTGTAATGAGCCTTATCAATTTCTGATTTAGTTAGTTTGTCACGGTAATGGTTGGACTTCATGGCGAATGATAGTTGTTCTTCACCCCTGCTTGCATATTGAAGGCTTTTAGCATTTTATTTTATTTTTATTGACTATGCTTGTGAATTTTAATAAGCTGTACATATTTACTCCTTCTAATTCCTGTCAATTTTTAAATGCAGATAGCTCTGATGAGGGCGGTGCTTATCTCCAAAATTGCTCGCATTGATTATCTCCAAAATTAATTATAGAAAATGAATATTTTAATAACCTGACCATGACTACAATTAAATATGGTTGCTGCATTTGCCTGGAATCTTTCGTAATATCAAGGAACGTCACATAATTGCAATTGCAATTTAAGACACCACTCAATCCCTCATTTATATACAACTTGTTGAGGCACTTGTTCTGTAATAAATAAAAACGTAGAGTGAAAATGACTCTTTCTAGTTTGTTAACAATCCTAATCCAAATAGATGTGTCCAATCTGAGGTTATTATCTATGATTTTAACTTCATAATGTATTGTTATAATTCAATGAAGTAAGTCACTCTTGCCTCATACACATTTTTTTCTCTTATATTCTTCGTTTGATTCTTCTTTTACGTCTTTGTAAATACTCGGTTAAATAAAAGATGACAAATAAGGCACTGGTTAAGACAAAAATTGTTAAAAAACGTAGTAAATATACTTTCTCTTGTAATTTTCAACATTCCAACGCAATTTTCAAGAAAAACTTACCATTTTTAATTCCTTAATCACTGTCTTAAAATCACTGATTGGCAAAACCCATAAGATGTATCTTGTTGCTCCAAATAATATTTCCTCAAATAAGAAGATTTGAAAAGGCTATGTTTTCTCAGCACCATTTCATTCCTATTTAGATGTGTATGAACTATGAAATGAAATTGAAAACACAATCATCCCTATTTACATCTGTACTTCCACACCAGAACACACACTATTTTATTTGCTGAACTAATATAAAATATAAAATCAACCCAAAGAGCAATGCAGGTTGAAGAGTACACCTTCACGAGTGCTCTCACCTGGCTGATTTACTATTAGCATTTTTCCACCCTAATGACTAATACCTCCACCTTAAAACTTGATAGCTATGTCCTCCACGGCTTTCATATTCAAGATCCAACTGAGGGAAAACACAACACAAAATGAAGTCCACATGCTTCCAATACCATTGCCTCCATCGCTTACAAAACAAAAGAGGACCAATAACAAGACCAAGACCAAAAACTAGTCCCAATTCAGCACTCACAATATTCCAAGCAACTGCATGCACCTTTGCATGTGGTGACAATGACACACCATGCACTCCACCACCGGATTTTCAGCTAATGGTGATCCATATAATCCATCATTGCCTTCAAAGAACCTTGCATCAGATGACTGAAGTTGAGTACCTGTGGGAATCTTCCCCACCAAATAATTACAGAAACAACATTCTTGAGTGAGGACTCTTAAATATCTTTAGCAAGAGGCAGAAAATGAGGTTTTCACACTAAAATATCTTTTACTAATTTAATAACATAATCATATTAAAGATGTGCAGTTGCAGGCAATAACGATGATTGACATCTATACCAGTTTTGGTTTCGAGCATGCCGCAATGCTTGTTACTTTAGGTTGAAGAAATTCTAAGGTAGAGCATTTACTTTTGCCTATTATTGCAAGCTTGATTTTGCAAACACCGTTCTATATTTTTTTTTTCCCTGATGTTTGAGATGTTTTTATAATTTGGTAGTTATGCTGAGGGAAGATTGAGTGCTAGGAGCAGTTTATTATGTATTTCTAATAATAGCTAAAGATGGTTCAGTTAGTTTCTTTCTAGCAATGCATTAATAATCTCTAATTTGCTATCTTAGATTGGATTATGATAGAAGTGTTTTGTTGAGTCTAAAGGCACTAGTTCATTTCCATTTATCAGATATGTTGTATTATAATTTCTAATTGTGAGAAGAATATAGCAAACTTTGACGCATAACAGAGGACTAATTTGGTAAGGTTTTCAATTTTAATGCTATAATTTGAAATTTATTTATCTTAAGATGAGTTGATTCTTATAAAATTTACCTATCTTGAGCATGCCAATTAAGGCCTGACCCTATAACTTGGTGGGTTGAGTTTGTCACTTAAGGCAAGACACCAAATATATATAATTTGGTGAGTTGAGGTTGCCGATTATTAATGTCTGGCCTAATATATGACTTGATCGGATAGGATCAATCACTAACTAATTATATGAGTGAAGAAAAAAGATGACGATATGCTTTAGAATTAAGGATATATCTTTATCCTAGTCAGTCATTGACTTTTAAAGAATTTTACACTATCAATTAATTAAAGAAATCTATAAACATGATTTTAAAGGGAATATTATAAAAATTAATCATTTTTAATGACATGACATCTTATATTTAATGGTAATGCAAAAGGCGTTTACATTATCATTGTAGTTCAATTATTTTTTTAAAAATTTAAATTTAATTAGCTAAGCTAATAGTGTAAAAAAAAAATTTACAGTCATTTAATTATTAATTTAATAATAAATTATCATATTAGTAAAAACTAATATTTTTATAATACTTGATTTAAAAGTCATATTTAATATGTATTTTTATTAATTAATAATATCATTTTTTTTAATAATCACGGTACATCAAAATTATACTTTTTAAATAATAACCTAACCTATATACATAATTTTACTTATGAATTGCACGCATTATTAATTAGATGCGTTTATTTGTGAGAATGTACTTCTAAAAGTTAATTCATAATACTCGCAAACTAATGTAAGTTTAATTGTCAATTTCATTTAAACATGTATCATTTTAGCAAATGAATTTTAAACAAATTTCAAATAATCAAGTTTTATTCTTAATTCATAAAGAATAAAATTACAAATTAAACAATCAAAGTTTTCTTTGGTATTTATTATTATTATTATTATTATTATCATTAAAGATTATTTTGATTAAGCTAATTAGTTTTACACAAAATAAAGGATTTTAGTTTAAGCTTTAAGTGTGTTTGATGAAGTTTTTTAACCAACCTAAACCCTATTTTGTTAGCTAAATTGCTTGTTTAACCAAAATAATCTCTTTTTTTTTCTAGACTGCCTATATTCTTCCAAGAGACAATTATGGGCAATAAAGTCATCTCTCTCTTAATAATCTTATTTGATAAAGTAAAAGTAGTTTAAATTAATAATAACTAGCATCTTTAAAACATTATTTAAGCAGTGTCTCAAATTTTCAGCTCACAGTTAAAAGCACTTTTACTTTTGTCACTTACATTTTTCATAATTCTCCTCCACCATTTTACTCTAAACCTTTAATATTTTCTCTTTATTTATACAAAGAGTATAAAGAAAAAAAATATTCTCTTTTATTCCTTAAAATGTTATTTAAAATTTTATTTATACAAAAAGTAAAATAAATATTCTTATTTTTAAACAAATAAAAATTTATTTAATTAATTTTAATATTTTTTTTTGTTGAAAAGGAAAGAAAGGTGTCACAAATAACAAATAATAAATAAATGTGGCTATATTCATTACATTTATTGCTAATATATTCAGTTCTTTATAATATAAATGCATTCGCATTATCTTATTTCATTTAATAGAAATATATTTATAAATATGTAAAATTATAAAATTTATTATCTTTATTTTTTAATGATAAATAAATTTAAATAGAAATATAAAAATTGAAGTATTTAAAAATATAATAATTACCAAATTTCAAGTTGTGAATGATTCAATAATTAATTATGTATTTATCAAACTAGTTTAATAAGTTTTAGTCAACACTTTCAAGCGCTTTCAATTTGATTTTAAAATTTCAGGCTTGATAATCAACTACTTTTGTCAAAAACACCTGTAACACATACAAATAGTTTTGTGAATATTTTAAAACTAGTACAAGTTTTATGTAAAAGTGTAAAATAAAAGACAAATTCGTGTAATTTATTCTAAAAAATAAAGATCAACCCAAAAAGCAATGCAACTGTGGAATGCAGGTTGAAGAAGGCATGGCTGCCATTGATGTTGTGGCACTGATTTGTTATTAGTACACTCGCCAGTGACTAAGGTCTCCACCTTAAAACTTTATACCTTCGCCTTCCATGCCTTTCGTATTCAAGACTCAGCTGGGGGAAGACACGGCACAGAATCAAGTCCACACGCTTCCAGTACCATTGCCTCCATCTTTTCCAAAACAGAAGGGGACCAATAAAAACCCCAAGACCCAAAATAAATCCCAATTCAGCGCTCAACATTTTCCAATCAATTGCATGCCGCCAGGTGTATGGTGACATTGACAGGCTGTGCACTGCATGACTACAATTTTTAGTCAAAGGAGCTCCACATAATTCTACATTACCAGCAAAGGAAGCAGCTTCAAATGTCTGAAGTTGAGTACCTAAAGGGATTTCTCCCTCCAGACGATTAAATGAAAGGTTCAGGTAGGCAAGGAAGCCTAAACTTGCAAGCTGTGTGGGAATTTTTCCATCAAAATGGTTGCTTGACAGGTCCAATGACTCAAGCTGTTTTAAATTCCCTATAGATGATGAGATTGGGCCTTTCAAAGCATTGTGTGACAAGTTGAGAGCATAAAGTCCGGTAAAATTAAGAAGCTCTTCTGGTATCGGCCCTTCAAAATTGTTGGATGAGAAGTCAACAGATGTGAAGATAATTAGGATTTTAACAAACTCCATCTGAATACCTTTGCTGGTAAGTGTCACTGAATCCTGATAATATATGCCTCTGCCAAATTTAAGGACCGGAGATCCAATGCGATTGAAATTTGTTACATCATCACCCTCATGAAGCACCATTGCCTCCCATGTCCTGAAGCATTTTCCTGGAAGTGAACCACTGAAATTGTTCAAAGCCAAATCAACAATTTGAAGCATATGCCAAGTACTATTAGTACGAAGACATCCAATTGTACCGTGAAATTTGTTGCCCCTCAAAACCATGACACGGAATGTGTGTAACTTCTGTAAGAAGCACGGAAATCTGTCATCCACCTGATTGTTTCCAAGATCTAACACTTCTAATAATGTGCAATTTGCAAGAGAGTTGGGAATTGTGCCTCTCAATAGATTACTATTGAGATCCAGAGTCCTTAAACCGCAAGATACAGGAAATGTATCTGGAATGCTGCCACTGAAATTGTTATGTTGTAGATTTAATACCATAAGCGTCTCACTCTGTGTTAAGCACTCTGGAATTTTCCCTTCAAAGTGATTATAGGAAACGTCCAGAACTAGCATATTTGAACGATTGCACAGGGATTGAGGAATACTCCCAGTTAAATAGTTTCTGGAAAGAGACAGGAATATTATGGAAGAGAGATTAGTACCAGAATCTGATGGAAGAGTGAAGCTGAAGTTATTTCTTGAATAGTCCAAATAAGCGACTTGCCCTGGAAAAACTGGAAGCTTCCCTTGGAGTTGGTTGAAGTGAAGATCAAGCACCTTCAAAGTAGAGCTAGTGTTCTGTACAGGTCCATCTAAATGGGTAAGCCAATTTTGAGAGAGATTTAATTGAACAAGAGAGTCAAGTTGCCAAACCCATGTCGGTATAAATCCTGGAATAAGGTTGTTTGAGAGGTCTAAATTGGTTAGCTTCGATTGGTTTTTCAAGAAACCGGGAAATTTTATCAAGTTGCAAGAAGCTAACTTCACAGTGCTCATCGTAGGGAAAGAATATAAATATAGGCTTGCCTCAGTAACTTTTGTATCTATTGACAGGTTATTGTACGAAAGATCTATTGTAGTTAGATTCTCTAGACTCTGAATCTCATCTAGCTTGACAGTGCCATTTAACTTGTTTGAAGACAATTGGAGAACAATAAGCGACCTGAGATGAAAAATAGATTTAGGAATGGTCCCTTCTAAATTGTTGCTGCTTAAATCAAGGATCCCTAACATGGAGGAAGAGATATTTGAATATTCATCCAGATGGCCTCCAAAATTGTTGGTTGAAAGCCGAATACTTCTTAGCAATGGAAGTGTAAAAAGATAGGAAGGAATGCTTCCATTGAGTAAATTGTACTGTAAATCAATTTGGACCAGTTTTCTTAGGCCTTCCAATCCAAGAGATGCAATTGAACCCGTTAAATCATTGTGTGAGAGGGCTAAATGGAAGAGATTCTTGGACATATTCAAGGATGGAATTGGACCAGTGAAGTAGTTAGATGACAAGTCCACATAAGTAAGCTCCGAGAGTCTTGACATTGAACCGGGAAGTGTTCCATTAAACAGGCAATTAGAAAGATCTAAGATGGATAACTGCTTCAGATTACTTATAGAAGCTGGTATTGCTCCCGAGAAATATGTGGAACTTACAACCAATGACCGAAGAGATCCATGCAATGGGAATTTGGGAAAAGAACCATCAAGATCATAATTGAATGATATGTCTATATCAGACAATGTTGCTACCTTAAAGATCTTCTCCGGAAATACTCCAGTCAATCCACAAGAACTAAGATAAAGGGTTGTCAGATTAGGAAATTGAGCAAAGGTTTCTGGCACTGGTGATGACAATTTGTTCTGATCAAGACGAATGACTGAAAGATTCTTAAGTTTTATCAAGGAAGGATCAAGGGGTCCGGAGAGTTTGCAGTTTGACATGCTCAGTTCCATCAGGCTATGTAGTGGTAATAAAGCATTGCACCAGTCATGTCCCTGAGCTGTTACACTCACACCATCCAGATAGAGTTGCCTAATCCTGGTGAGGTTCTGGACAAGCTTTCCTAGATCTAGATTCTCAAGTTTCAGTGGTTGCCCATATAAATATGAAAGAGAAGAGATATCAAGAGTAACCAACCTTGTCAAGTGAGAAATCTCAATTGGAATCTGTCCCACAAAGCCAGCATATGACAAATTCAGATAAGTTAAGTTCTTCAACTTGTTGAATCCAGATGGAATTGTCGAATTGATGTTATTAGCAGCCAAATTCAAACTCTGAAGATTTTGCAAACTTAAAATACTGCTTGAATTGTCAAATCCACCATAGATTGATTCTCCACTCAGGTCAAGACCAGTAACGTGTCCCTCCTTATCACAGGTTACACCATTCCACTCGCAGTAACCAGTGCCTTGATGCCAGGACACAAGCTTGGCAGAATTTTCCAACTTAAATTTGAGTTCACTCTTCAGTTTGAGCAGCAAATATCGTTGATCCTCGTGCCAATAGGTAGAAACCACCGAGACATTGTTGCAGAGGCACAACCAATAAAGTATTATCACTGAAAGCCACCATAATGTTTGAATTTTCATCTTAGCTGATTTTTTTCTTATGAGCTTTGACATGTGCAGGTGCAACTTAACTTATGAGAACAATCCTAATTTATGGTTACCAGAGGAAGAAGTGTATAGTTTCATAAAACTGGTTTGTGGTAATCTTTGCACAACACTGAAAGTCAATTTCATGACATGAGTGGACTCTGGAGTCAGGTCTAGATGGCAAGGTTCACTAGCATACAATTAAATTTTGGCAACCGAATACTATTTTTTAAAATGTCACTTTAATTATTGAAGAAATATTAGTTTCCTATAAATCTTCATCAATCATCATGTCACATATGTAAGTCCCACATCGGTGGCAGTAAAGGGGTTAGGACCCCTCCTTTGCTTATAAAAAGGCTTGTGGTCCTCCCTTAACATCATCCCAAAAAAAATTACACTACTCTTCACTCTAAAATTTTTTTCTCAAAATAGGAGACTATTACTACTGAGTACAAGATCTCAATGTAATACAAAAGGTGAGAGGGAGAGAAAATTTTTTTGGGATGATATTAAGAGGGGACCACAAGCCTTTTTATAAGCAAAGGAATGGTCCTAACCCGTTTACTCCCATCGATGTGGGACTTACAATTCTCCCACTTGAAGATTATGATTAAGTTAATCATATTTTCAAGTGGGAGAATTGTAAGTCCCACATCGGGGGGAGTAAAGGAGTTAGGACCCCTCCTTTGCTTATAAAAAGGCTTGTGGTTCTCCCTTAACATCATCCCAAAAAAATCTTCTCTCCCTCTCACCTTTTGTATTACACTGAGATCTTGTACTCGGTAATAATAGTCTCATATTTTGAGGAGTAAATTTTAGAGTGAGGAGTAGTATAATTTTTTTTTATCTTTATTTTAGTTATGTGTTATTATACTGGTACTCTGGTCCTAACAGTGGTATCAGAGCTTCTAGGTTGTTTATATTATTCTACTGTAGTGTACATTGGTATAGTGCTAGAGGAAATTCTTAGTATGCTCTATGGTTGCAGTATTGTCTGATCTACCACATTAGAAAAGAATTATTCTTGTTACTGGGTATACAATTTTTGGTAGTGTAAAAGTGCATATATAGTGTGTACTTATTCATAGTCTACCATTATTATTGTTCCAGTAGGTAGTATTATTCACAGTGAAAGTTACATAAGTCAGTATAATTAAGAGAGAAATTATGGCAGTAAAATGAGATAGAGAAATTTCATGGGAGTAATTTCTCCTTGTGGAAATTGAAGATAGGAGCAATTTTGAAGAAAGACAATTGTCTTGATACAATTGAAGGCAGACTCGCAGATATTTCAGAAGAAAAATGGAGAGAAATGGATAACAATGTTGTTACCAATTTGCACTTGGCATTGGCAGATTTAGTGTTATCCAGTGTTGCAGAGAAGAAGACTGCAAAGGAGATTTGGGACACAATGATCAAGTTGTACGAGGTCAAGTCACTTCACACTAGAATATTCTTGAAGAGAAAACTCTACACTCTTCGAATGAGTGAGTCCAAATCAGTAACGGACCACATCAACAATCTGAATACGCTGTTTGATCAGCTTATAGCCGCAGATTTCAACATAGTAGAAAATGAACGTGCGGAGCTTCTACTCTAGAGTTTACCAGATTCATATGATCAACTCATCATCAATATAACAAACAACAACATTATCGGTCGTCTATCCTTTGATGATGTTGTTGGAGCAGTTCTTGAAGAAGAATCCAGGCGAAAGAATAAGGAAGATAGACTGGAAAATTCTAAACAGGCAAAATCATTGACGATGATGAGAGGAAGATCAATGGAACGTGGTTCCAGTGAGAGGCAGAATCATGGTAGATCAGAATCTCAGAGAAGGAAGAACCTCAAATGCTACAACTGTGGCAAGAGAGGGCACGTGAAGAAAGATTGTTGGAACAAGAAGAGTGGAGGAGGGAAGAATATTGAAGCATCAACCTCTCAAGGTTGTGTTGCAAGTACCTCAAATGATGGTGAAATCTTATATAGTGAAGCAGTAAATTCTAGAGATGAAAGACAACTTCATGAATGTTGGATATTGGATTCAGGTGCAACCTGGCACATGACTCCATGTCGAGATTGGTTTTACAATTATGAAACTATCTCGGGAGGATCCGTGTTCATGGGAAATGATCATGCCCTAGAAATTGCTGGAATTGGTACTGTTAAATTGAAAATGCATGATAGTACTGTTCGTACAATTCAAGGGGTACGACATGTGAAGGGCTTGAAAAAGAATTTATTGTCCATTGGGCAATTGGATGACCTCAATTGTAAGATCCACATTGAAGATGGAATCTTGAAGGTAGTTAAAGGCAATTTGGTGGTGATGAAAGCAGAAAAGATCACAACCAATTTATACATGCTTTTGGGAGATACGTTGCAAGAAGCAGATGCATCAGTTGCAATTAGTTAAGAAGAAGAAACAATGATGTGACACCGTAGACTTGGTCATATGTCAGAACGAGGCCTGAAAATTCTAGCAGAACGTAATCTCTTACCAGGGCTCAAAATGGTAACTTTACCATTTTGTGAGCACTGTGTGACAAGTAAGCAGCATAGATTGAAGTTTGTCAAAGTAACTACAAGAAGCAGACACATATTAGACTTGATTTATTCTGATGTATGGGGATCATCGGAAGTATCTAATGGAGGAGAAAAATATTTTGTATCATTCATTAATGATCACTCAAGGAGATTATGGATGTACCCAATCAAGAAGAAGTCAGATGTGTTTCCAGTGTTCAAGGAATTCAAAGCACTAGTAGAACTTGAAACTGGAAAAAGAATTAAGTGCTTAAGGACAGACAATGGAGGAGAATATGTAGATGGTGATTTCCTGGCATTTTGCAAGCAAGAGGGTATTTCAAGGCAATTCACAGTGCCTTATACACCTCAGCAGAATGGTGTAGCAGAGCGGATGAACAAAACTCTTCTAGAAAGAACAAGAGCTATGCTAAGAACAGCAGGAGTGGCTAAATCTTTCTGGGCAGAAGCAGTGAAAACTGCCTGTTATGTAATAAACCGATCACCATCAACAACAATTGGTTTGAAAATATTAGGAATATAAGCAACATATAATTGTAATATATTAGGAATGTGTGAAGATATGATTAACTTAATCATAATCTTCAAGTGGGAGAATTGTAAGTCCCACATCGGTGGGAGTAAAGGGGTTAGGACCCCTCCTTTGCTTATAAAAAGGCTTGTGGTCCTCCCTTAACATCATCCCAAAAAAATCTTCTCTCCCTCTCACCTTTTGTATTACACTGAGATCTTGTACTCGGTAGTAATAGTCTCTTATTTTGAGGAGTAAATTTTAGAGTGAGGAGTAGTGTAATTTTTTTTTAATCTTTATTTTAGTTGTGTGTTATTATACTGGTACTCTGGTCCTAATAGAAGACACCAATGAAGATATGGAATGGAAAGCCACCTAATTATTCTTCATTACATGTGTTTGAATGTCCTGTGTACGTGATGTACAATTCCTAAGAAAGAACAAAACTGGATCCAAAATCCAGGAAGTGTATATTCTTTGGTTATGCTGACAATGCTAAGGGGTATCACTTATGGGATCCCATTGCCCGCAAGGTTGTTGTTAGTAGAGATGTAGTCTTTGCAGAAAATGAACTGCAAAAGGAGCAGAAAGATGACAGTACTACCAAAGACACTACTTCAGTAGTGATAGAAAGGAAGGCTAAAGAAGATGACACCTCTGAAGCAGAACAAGAGCACAGGGAACAAGAACCAAATGATGCCAATGATGGAGAAGCTCAACAAATAAGACGTGAGATAAGGAGACCATCTTGGCACTCAGACTATGTGATGGCAAGCCACGATGCATATTGTCTTCTAACAGATGAAGGAGAACCATCAACCTTTCAAGAGGCTGTGAGCAGTTTAGATGCTTCTCTGTGGATGGTAGCAATACAAGAAGAAATGGAAGCCTTACATAGAAATAAGACATGGAAACTTGTAACACTTTCAGAAGGTCGAAAAGCCATTGGAAACAAATGGGTTTACAAGATCAAACGTGATGTCAATGATCAAGTGGAGCGATATCGTGCAAGACTGGTGATTAAAGGATTTGCTCAGAAAGAAGGCATTGATTTTAATGAAATATTTTCTCCAGTGATTAGACTTACCACTATCAGAATAGTGTTGACTATGTGTGCAGCGTTTGATTTACATCTTGAACAATTAGATGTAAAGACTGCTTTTCTTCTTGATGAACTTGAAGAAGAAATATATATGCTCCAACCAGAAGGTTTTGAAGAACAAGGAAAGGAAGACTTGGTTTGCAGGTTGACCAAATCTCTGTACGGTTTAAAACAGGCGCCAAGGTGTTGGTACAAGAGATTTGATTCCTTCATTATTAGCCTCAGATACAACAGACTGAGTTCAGACCATTGTACGTATTACAAGAGGTTTGGTGATAATGATTTCATCATTTTGTTGTTGTATGTGGATGACATGCTGGTGGTAGGCCCCAACAAAGATCGAATCCAAGAATTGAAGGCACAATTAGCTAGGGAGTTTGATATGAAGGACTTGGGATCAGCAAACAAGATCTTAGGGATGCAAATTCACCGAGACAAAAAAGATAGGAAGATTTGGCTTTCTCAGAAGAATTATTTACTGAAAGTCTTGCGACGCTTCAACATGCAAGAATGTAAGCCAATTTCTACCCCACTTCCTGTCAATTGCAAATTATCCTCAAGTATCAAGCCTAGTAATGAAGCAGAGAGGATGGAAATGTCTCGAGTGCCGTATGCATCAGCAGTGGGAAGTCTTATGTATGCCATGATTTGTACTAGACCAGACATTGCACAAGCAGTGGGAGCAGTCAGTAGGTTTATGGCAGATCCTGGTAGAGAGCATTGGAATATTGCAAAGAGGATCCTTAGATACATAAAAGGAACCTCTAATGTTGCATTATGTTTTGAAGGATCAGAATTTATTGTGAAAGGCTATGTTAATTCAGATTTTGC